AGTGACTATTAATCTGGTCAGATCTGTCGTTATCTCAATCCCTTGTGCCCCACGTTGGGCGCCAAAAAGAACTGTCATAATTTAACCCCAGCCAGACAACTTGTTCACCCACTCCCCCCCTCTTCTTGCCCTCCCCCTACTCCTGGAGGGACGGATAGGAGAATCAGAAGGGATGCAACTCCCATGGGCTGAGATAAGAACAGTTTAGTAACTAAGGTATAACACAAATCACTACTGCTACCACGAAATCATAATAATGATGAAGGAAATAACAAGGAAATAGAATACACCACCTCATCACCAGGTGAGACCCCCCCCCCCCCCCCCCCGGCCCAACCAAGCACCAATCGATACCTCCTCCAACCCTGCTGTCCACTTAGCCCTTCTGGGGCTCAGTTACATCCTGGGCATGACGTGCTGTGGTATGGAATACCTCTTTGGTCAGTTTGGGTCAGGTGTCCTGTCTCTGCTTCCTCCCGGCTTCCCCTCCTCCCTGGCAGAGCATGAGGCTCACAAAGTCCTTGGCCAAACCAAAACATCATTTTTATCAGCTTTATTCCCAGCCTGAAAGTCAAAACACAGCATTGCACCAGCTACCAAGAAAGAGAAAAAATGACTGCTAGTGTTAAACCCAGGACACTGCCCCCAGTTCTACATCCTGGGCATGATGTGCTGTAGTATGGAATAGCTCTTTGGCTGGTTTAGATCAGGTGTCCTGTTTTTGCTTCCTCCTGACTTCCCCTCCACCCTGGCAGAGCATGAGACTCAGAAAGTCCTTGATCAGAGTAAACATTACTGAGCAGCAACTAGAAACATTGGGTTTATCAGTGTTGTTCCCAGGCTGAAAGTCAAAAACACAGTACTGCACCAGCTACTAAGAAGGAGAAAAATGACTGCTATAGCTGAACCCAGGACAATATCTATAGAAGCACTTCCTGTTATCTTTCACATCCCTTGCCAGATTTAGTTCTAACTGGGCCTTTGCTTTCCTGACCTAGTCCCTAGCTTCCCAGACAATGTCTCTGTATTCTTCCCAGGCCACCTCTCCTCAGTTCCACCTTTTATAAGCTTCTTTTTCCCCCCTCAGTTTTCTCAGCAGCTCCTTATCCATCCATGGAGGCCTCCTGGCCTTCCTGCTCCATTTCTGTCTAGTCTGGGTGCAACACTACTAAGCTTGGAGCAGGTGCTCCTTGAGTATCAACCAAAGGTCTTTGTCCCCCCTGCCCTCCAAGGCTTTTTCCTATGGTTCCTGTTGAGGCCAAAGTCTGCTCTATTGAAGTCCAGGGCAGCGAGCTTGCTGTGTGCCTTTCTCACAGTCCTGTGGATCTTGAACTCGACAATCTCATGATTGCTACATCCAAGGCTGCCCTGGAGCATTACAGTCCCAACCAGTCCTTCCCTGTTGGTGAGCACGAGGTCAAGCATGGCACCTCTCCTTGTCAGCTCCTTAATTACTTGTGAGAGGAACTTGTCTTCCACAGAATCGAGGAACCTCCTGGATAATTATAAATAATGAGATGGATGAGCCTTAACTTGATTTAATTTTATCTTATACTGTTTCCTAGTAGTAATTCTAAATTTTTGATCTTCATCATTTTGGACTAAATTTCATAATCTTTTATACATTAGTGAGCAATAACTTTAGCAAATAGTTTTGCTGCTAATCAGTAGGATTAAACATTTTAAGGATGTGCTCAATAAAGATTTCCAAAATTGAGTCCTTCTGCTTGCAATTGTGTGACTAGGGAGCTCCCTTAACTTTCTGTTAAAGAACATTTCAAGCTTTTAAAAATTTGCTGGGAAACTGCTGTTCAAAACCCTAATGCATATAGTAAATAAACAAGGAAATGTTAAAACTGAAAAATGTTTGTAGAACAGCCGAGTTATTTTAAGCTTTGTAAGTGATCTCATAATATGGAAAAATAAAAAGGAATGTAAATGACTTATTCAGTAAAAGGTGAAATATGACAGAAGTTGAATTCCCAGGCTTTTTGATGAATGATTCAAAGGAAATTGTTGTGCTTGTAATTTAAAACCACAATCAGTGATTAATTCTTTGATTTTTGCAATTTTCTCATTCTGGCGCATCAATATGTCTGACAATGGGTAACAAAGAGAGCAATACAAGAAATAACCCATTGTACATATTTTTTGTGTGTATATTCCAGAGCACAGCTCCTGTCCCAGTTATCAAAGCATGAAATCATAGAGTGCTTTGGGTTGGAAAGGACCTTAAAGCTCATCTAATTACAACCCCCTGCCATGGGCAGGGTCATCTTCCACTAGACCAGGTTGCTCCAAGCCCCTTCCAGCCTAGGCTTGACCACTGCCAGGGATGGAACAGACACAGCTTCTCTGAAAAATCTCTTCTAGTGTCTCATTACCCTCATGGTGAAGCTTGCTTTCTAATATCTAATCTAAATGTCTCCTTTTTCAGTTTAAAGCCATTGCCCCTTGTCCTTTCACTACATGTCCTTGTATATGTCCCTATCCAGACTTCTTGTATGCCGCCTTTAGGCACTGGAAGCTGTTCTAAGGCCGGTCTCCCTGGAGTCTTCTTTCCTCCAGGATGAACAAACCCAGCTCTCTCAGTTCTCTGATCACCTTTGTGGCCTTCCTCTTGGCTTGATTCAAGAGGTCTATGTCCTCATTATGTTGGAGTCCCAAGAGCTGAACAGAGTGCTGAGCAGATTAGATGTGAAGAATCACCTCCCTTGAACTGCTTCTTTTGATGCAGTCCAACATACAGGTGGCTTTCTGGGCTGCTTTTTCTATTGAAGGATAGCAAATAAAAACTGACTTTGACTTTTGTTCAGTTAGACAAACGTCTTGGGAAAAATTCACCTAAAGGACTTGACTTTTAAAAATCTGGATTTCAGTTGCTAAAAAGTCTATCTAACAAACTCTATTGCTTTTTGTCAAAAAATAGCTGGTCTATATGGCACATAAGGCTCTATTTTCACACTGAATAACTTGGTGAGTTTCCATAAAGTCAGAAATAGCCTGTGAACGTTCAGTCGTTCTATCCACAACAAGGTTACAACAACTGGCACAGTTTTGAAACTGATGGTCAGAATTATGTGTACAGTTCTTTGTAATTCTTCAACAGAAATATCCAATGCTTATTTTGGACACCTTATGACATATTGAGCAATATTTAGAATCAATTCTGTTGGAATCAGCATACAAATAATGGTTAATGTGAGGTCACAAACACTGGCATTTCAATACGTCAGTTCGTAAGATCAGTAAATCTGATCCAACGCTCTTAAAGAGACTTTCCTGAACATTCTGAAGCAACCTATTTTTGCATTGACATTGTATAGCAAGGAAGCTATTTTTGTGTGATTCATATCCTGGTGTTTGTAAACACTGTTAATAGTTTCTGCATGAAATGGTGTTTCCATTACATGTAATAAAAATGAACAATAAATGGTCTTGTGTATCCTCAAGTTAACAAGTTCTATCTTGAAATTAGTGAATTGTTTACCATTATAAGATGGCTTTAACTAAAGTCAGTCACTGTCACACAATGCAGTTACTTTGTACCGCCTTGTTGGTTTCATAGGCTTTGGAAGGCACTACCTACACAAATGTGCAGTCAGATTGCTGGGGCTGCTCTAGCCACCCTAGTGCAGAATATTGCCATTAAGGTCATTTTCTATGCCCATCAGTCAGATGGTATTATTCTCACTTTTTTCTTTCTAACATTTCAAATGATGCTGGTTTTTGCTTTATTTAGCTAATGTATCTACATGCTTTTCTCCTAAGGCAAGTTATCAATTAATTACCATTAACTTGAATTCAGTGACAAAAATGAGTTACCTTAATATCAGCTAGAATTTCCTGATTCTCCTATTTAGGGTTTTTTGTTTGTTTCTTTCTTTCTTAGTTTGTTTTCTGCTGAAACTGTAAACTCACCGGTGTAAAGGCAGTGTCTCCCTAGATTCCTACAGCATGTAGTCCTGATCTTTTATGGAGTTATGAATATTACAGCATGAAAATAAATCATGTTAATAAATAATATTCTACTCATTTAAGCACTGATTATCAATATTAAGGTGGAGTTAGTAACAGTTTTGTGTGAGAGTTCTTTCTGAGTGAAAAAAGCTTTAACATCAGCTCTTACTGCAGCCAAATATTGTAAACTGAAGTTGCTGAGAGCCAAAATGGTAACAGTCATCTTGCAAACAGATGGGATAGTCCTGTGTTAGTGAACTTTTGCCCTAGGAAGCAAGAAAGTAAAGGAAAGGAAGGAGGAGAAAAAAAGAATAAATGCTCAGTAATTATTACTTATTGCACAATATTACCTTGCAATTATTGTTTAATTCAGACACTTGTATAATAAATCTGTTGAAATAGTCTGAGTGATTCAGATATGGGTGGGTAGGTGTCATTTTGGAAATGCTATTGGATGTTCATATAGTTGTTGGGTTGTTTCCTCTTTCATAGCCAAGTAAACAGTGACAGAGTGGTGTGGTAGAGTATTAATGATGTAAACTATTAAATTAGGCTCTAAAACCAGAAATTTATACCCTGTGCTTCCAGCTGAACTGGAAACAGAAAATTAAAATTTGAAATCAAGAGTGCACATTTATCTCTTTAAATCTTCTATGTCTTTGAAGTCTAAATCAATGAAATTCATAGGGTTTGTGAAGGTGGTTTAGTGTCATCTAAAATTTAGGTGAGAAGGTAATGTGTTTAAGAATGATCACTGTGCACTAAAGTGCTCCTCTACTTTAAAGAGTGAATTTAGTTACAGAGTATTTTCATTTTTGATGCTTTAGAAGTCCCCATACATCTTGGATGCCATTAATGTAGGTCGTTTGTATTCACTGTTAGGTTTTTTACACTGGCAGTAGTACACTGTTTCGTACACTGTGAAAATATTACCGCTTTTGAGTCTGATTAGGTACGAAGTAGTTTCCATAGAGATTTGCACAGTATGAGTAGTTTTGTTTATTACCTTATGCTTTTTAAATATGCTTTATTATTTGTAGCATCCTCACATGCTCATCATCTCTCTCTCAAACTCCGCTGGCTCTGTTCCTCCAACCATTAAAAACTGTTCACAGGTTATCACCATAACAACACATCCAGTGAAAGTCATCTGGGAACAGCTGAAATGAGTTCCAACAGTGGAGATGCTTCTATATCCAATGCCTCCTGCTTCCAATGCAGAAGTTGTCAGGTTCAGAATACAGCCCATCACGAAGTTGGTAGCACAGCCTTTTGCTGGTTTAAAGTAATCATCAAAAGTAAGTGCTAAAAAAGGTAAGTTCTGGGATAACGCTTAATAAATATGACCCTGTCTCTTTCACAGTTCAGTTTCCAGTACTGAACACAGTGTCTGTGTTTGTTTCCATGCACAGTTTGATATCAGGTCTACTGTAAGAAATAGAATGTTTAGGTTTAAAAATAGTTTTCTGCCTAAAACCTTTGGTGCTAGTAAAATAGCTCCTTCCTTGAGTATTGCTTTTTTATTTCAGGGAAATGCTTGTTTACTAGGGAATAATTGTATACAATTTGTTGGTTTACCATTTGCTTTAGTCATTATCAGTTGAGAGCTTCGGTGACCAATGATCTGTAGTTGTCTTCACTGCAATCTGATCCCTGTGCTTGATGCTGTGGACAGGTTTCTGTAAAGTTTGTATTTTTACTAATAAAGCCCTGCATTTAGATAGTGACAATTTCCAACATTTTAGAATGCAACAATGGAATATGCTGAGCAAAAATACAGTGGTGTACAATCTTAAACACACATTTGCTTGGAAAGCTATTGGTGCTGTTGCAGTCCCTCTGTGGAGCATTCTGCTCATGTGAATACTCACTTTAAGCACTTCATTGTAAATTCTGGTCACTTGTTCAACAAAGGTAAATTTAAAGTAGCTTAAGCTGTGTAGCCAGGCTCAGATTCATGCCAAAGTAACTGAGGTATGCCTAGAAAGGCCATTATGACTTTTTTTTCAGTAGGAAGGGGCCAAGAGGATGGTGGATTTGGTAAAGAGCATTTGTAAACCTTGCTACTTCTGCTTGAGGGTCTATCATCTCCAGTAACATAGAAGTTTTTAAACTAATTTAAGAGTATTCCCGTAAAGGATTGATAACTTTTAAGGATTAGATTGATTATAAATCCTATTTGTGTAGATAAGCTCTCTGATATGCAGAAACAAAATGCTTTCTAGTCAGCAGAACTTCTGAGATTTTCGAGCTTATTGCTCAAAATTCAATGAGCTTTTGTAAAATGCAACCAAATGTTCGGAATTAAGGACATAACATTGGAAAAGTAGTTACTATAAAAGTGGGGAAAACCAAAAGCTACTTCCTCTGGCTTGGTTTCTCACAGAAGACAAAGCATGACTACAAAGGTTCATTGACATGATGGCAGAACATGAAAGAAGTTTATTGAGGATGGGACATATTTCCAATAAAATATCAGGAATGGCTTTAATAGAACTTTGAAAAGCTTTTTGAGCTGTTTAGAGTTCGCATGTTCTCTTTCATTTTGGGTATATTAAAAAGTACTACAAATATATTCAGAACTACTTTGCCTTCTGTTCTACTGATGTAATCAATTAAACTGCTTTTTAAATTCTTTGAGAATAGTCTTATGCTTACTTCATTGTGAGTTTCAGATGGAAGTTGGAATTTCTTGGTGTTTCTTATATGTACATTTATTTTAAACATACTTTATGAAAATATGATTTATTAGCTGACAATCCTGAAGAGGACTTCACTTTGGGGAGGAAAATAAAAACAAAGGTTAAGGAGGAAGGTAGTGTTAATATCTTTGGCAGTGGTTTGCTGTAAATGGTATTACCTCTTTCAATGTAGAAATCAGAAAGCTATGATAAATTCATAATGTTTTTAGTTGGCTTGTACATATTGTTTAGGAGTAAAGTAATAACACAGATTGTTTTAGCCAGAATAATACTGCACCAGTTGTGACTAGCCAAGATAAGTGGGTTACTCAAGCTCTCTCATTTATTTTAAAAAATTAGTTTGGCTGCTTGTCAGGAAGTGACTTCAGTAAGGAAACACAGTAATTTCGTTATCAAACACTCCTTTTTCTAACTCTTCCAGTGAAATGCATGTGAACTCAGTGTATGAAAAACATTTATTTCCAGCTTCTTATCTTCAGTAACTCATCATGTTACATGCAGCATGATTCACTGCATGCAGTTTATCTGTCATGGGGGAGGCAGAGGGGAGAAGGAAAAATTCTAAGAGCACCTAAAATATATCATACCTTTGTATGCAGTTATACTATTTCCAGGCAAAGTAGCTTAGTTATCTGTTTAGAGGAAATTTCTCTAGCCTCTGGGCCGTATACCCTTTGTTCCTGATTGCCTTGAGACAAGCAATCAGAAAATCTCTAGCTTGGGGACTGTACTGCCCCCAAGGCTAATATTACTTTTTGCCAAATACTGTGTTTGGATTGCTGAAATTGCAATGTGTCCTCTGAATAGGGACTGTGAATAGTTCTGAATGTTCTCCAAGTTTTATCAGTATTTCAGTTCCTTACAAAGTATTAACAACAGTTTTCGAAGTTCACATTCTTGCTGTAAGGGGAAGGAAAACTGCCATATAAGAGTAAATTCATAAATATACATGACAGGCAGCAGAAGTGTCTTTCTTAAGAGGAAATCTAGCTTTGAAAAAAGCTTCTGATGTCTTTGGGTAATTTGTTGGGGTTTTTTTAATAGTTTTTACCACCTTTGTTCATGCGTATAAATTCACAAAAAATAATACTATGGGTTGAAAAAAACCCCAATATCACATTTGCCTGTATTTTCATTTTGCTAGACAAGTCATCTTCATTCCACTTTCAGTATTCTGCATGGCTTCACAATAAAACTACCTAACCTCTATGAACAGTGTGACAGAGCAGCTCATCATATGTCACTGAAGTTGGAAAGAACTCCTATGTTTTATTAGTATCAACTTAAAGCATAGGGACCATCTCAGGGGTGGGGGGGAGGTGTGACTAAGAATATGCTTTATACACGTGGTCAGCGATGTACCAGCCAAGATTTGTTAAGTAACTTGAAGAAAGCTGTAAGGAGAGTGGCACTGCTGTGTCCATAGTTAGATAGTTATCATTCTGGGGAGAAATATAGAGAAACAATAATAGGCACTTTGTTGTAGGAGAAATCAAAAACATTCAAAGGGCCGTATTGTATGAATGACTCAAAATGATTAATTAAAAGAGCAAGACAGATTTTTGCTTCTTAAAATGAAATAGCTTCACTTCTTGAAGAAATATAATTTGAAAGATAGCCATGTCAGATATTTTTCCAATAGTTGGAAATTTAAAGTACGAATTTAAAGAAACAAGCAGAATATAAACTTGTGGGGTTTTTGACTCTGCAGCAACAGGCCTACTATTTGATGCCTTCTCAGTGCTTCAGGTATGTTGCTCAACACAAAGCAAATGTAAAGGTATAGGGATTTAGTTAGAAACCTAAAAATGGGAACAGGACATCATCACAGAGTCTCAGAATAACATTGGAAAGAAACAAGAATGTCAGCCTATAGCTAAAGGACAAAGTAATTTATGATACTGGATATAACTTTGGGAAAGAGGTGAAAGTGCAAACATTTATAAGTAGGTCAAAGTAAATGTCCTCCCTCCACTGACAGTGTATTAATTCTTCTGGAAAGACGCCTTTTATTGAGGCATTTCTACCTAACCTAGCTGCGTGAATCACCAACCTGATGCTTCTGCTTTGCAAAAGCAGTTGTAGTTACTAGTATGAGTAGTTGTGTTACTGGGTGTTGTGGTTTAAGCCTAGCTGGTAACTCAGACACATGCAACCATGCACTCACTCCCTGTCTTCTTCTTCCCCTTCTTCTTCTGCCCTGCTCCCAGAGGGATGGGGAGGAAAATTGAAAGAATGCAACTCCCACAAATTGAGGTAAGAACAGTCCAGTAACTAAGGTATAATACAAAACCACTACTGCTACCACCAATAATAATAATGATAAGGAAAATAACAATGGAAGAAAATACAGCTGCTCACCACCCACCTACCGGTACCCAGCCTGACCCAAGCCCTTCTGGGTAACTGCCCCCAGTTTATATACTGGGCATGAGGTGCTGTGGTATGGAATACCCCTCTGGCTAGTTTGGGTCAAGTGTCCTGTCTTTGCTCTCTCCCGGCTTCCCCTCTTCCCTGACAGAGCATGAGGCTGAAAAAATCCTTGGTCAGAGTAAATATGACTTAGTAACAACTAAAAAAATCGGTGTTATCAGCGTTGTTCCCAGGCTGAAAGTCAAAAAATGCAGCACTGCACCAGCTACTAACAAGAAGAAAAATGTCTGCTACTGCTGAACCCAGGACACTTTGACAACAAATGTAAACTTAGCTGTTTGGAGACCTTTCCAAGAAGAATACTGGCACAGTCCTGGACTGTGCAGCTTGTGCATCACAGAGTAACAAATCTTAGTGTCATTGTGATTAGATAATGAAAACAATTTGTAATCTATTTGGGTTGGGCTGGGAGGAAAAAAAAGTCTGGAGTCATGAAAGGGTCACATTGTTTGAAACTGTCCGAAAGGAAAAAAATTATTTTTTGCCAAACAGAAGTTGTCCTGGCAAATTCTTCTCCTTTCCAAGAGTAGACAGAAGTGTGATTTAGATACAAAAGCATGATTTGCAAATTGAATATGAACCTGAAATAGTCTAAGATTTTGAGCACACTGGATGAAAGGACAAAGCCCAAAGTGTGTGTTTGCTTTGAGTGATAACAGAAAACGTGAAACAAACCCATAGTTGTCTTATTTTGGCCTAAGATATGAATGCTTTATTCAAGATTTTTTGATAAAATCTCTAACTACTGCTCAAGGTGAGAAGCTCAGAAATGTTATTAAAGATACTAAGATATTTGCTGTTACCTCTTGAAGGGTGTTACATGCATATCATTATATGTATTATATATATTTAATAATATTATAGAATTATATAATATTATAAAATGTTAACCGTTACCAGATTAAGAGCACTATATAAATTGGGGACATTTGTTTAAAGCCATTGAAGAGATGAGATGAGATGTGTATCTTCCTTAGTACCAGGCATTATATACTTTTAAAAGACCTGCTTAATTGCAAGTCTGCGTACTGCATAATACTAAAATACATGAGGAAAACTATGAAGCAGGCTGGTTTTCAGCTGAAATGGGACAGGATACCCACTGGAGGGAGTTAACCAACACAGTGGATCTGCCTTTTTATAGCCAGTGTGTAAATGAAATAGTATAGAAACACTGATAGTACGGTTTTGCCACTGAGCGGTTGGTGTTGTGGGAGGACAGTCAACTTTGTGAGGGCAGCTGGGTCTGGAGATGTGAGCAGTACCATAAGCTACTGAGACATAATTCTTTAGATTTCATTCAGTATTGCTGTTACAGATGCATCATAAGGCGTAAGTAGTGTACTGGAAGTGAGTTAAGAAAATCAAGTCTATCCAGAACCTGTGAAAGAGGTATCTAGAATGTGAAGAAAACAGCTGGTAGGAAAGTAGGAGCTTGCATTTACAGTGAATCTGAATGATAGAAGTATGTTATTTATAAGATAGATCTACACTGCAATCGGGTATTTAAAACCAGGTATCTGCACCAGCAGTTAAGGCGCCTGTGATGAGAACAGCTTTAAGCTATGGAGGTTGAAATGATATTACACACTGACAAGAAAAAAAGAGAAAAAGAAACCCAAGGTATGTTGGCTATAATGACAAAAACTAGAGGGAAGAGAATATGGAAAATTTTCACATTTCAGAATTTAGCTTTTTTCGTTTCATGTGTTTTGGTAAGTGTTACCTATTTTGATTTTGTGTTCTGTATTTTATCATAGCCTCTTCTCTCCCAGCAAAATAATTTTTTAGTGAATAACTTTGGCCTGTTCTGAATGTAATCCTTCACTATTTTCTTGGTATTTAGAAACTGTCATGCAGTAAATAAGTAAAAAAAATAAAAAATTTCTTTCTTAGAGGGGAGTTTATTTACTGTATTTCTTCTGGAGTGACGGAAATGAAGTTTAATCTGTTATATTCATTTTATTGCCATTTGTTTTATGTGATCTTTCAAGTACTACAAACCACCTCTGGTAGAGACCCCAGCAGCAGTTCTGCAACTTGTTCCAAATAAAGGCCACTGATTTCCATCAAAGTCTACAGGTCTGGCATATTTCTGTCAGACTTCTTATATGACATATTTCTCTTATTTAGATGTAGCCTGGCAAACAGCATATATATATATATATATATATATATATATATAAAAATATCAGAAATTTGCACGGGTAAGGCAGTCTTGAAAATTTCAATTATTTGATTGCTTCAAGCTTTTTGCTGATTTAAAGCTTGTTGATTAATGCATTGCTGTGATAGAAAATTGTGTTCAATGAGTATGACCTAAATGGAGAAAAGAGGCTTGTCTCCAAGTAGGCTGCCACCTGGGTGACTATTCTGATGTCAGATATGCCGAAGTAGAATCCATAAGAGTTACACGGGAACAAAGGCAAAGTTACTGGGGAATTGGATTGAGTATGTAGCCTTAAGACTTGCAAATATTGGTTGCAATTTCTGTGCTTTTGTAAAATACACAAAAAATACCTACACACAAATTTTTAGTGACACAGTTCTTGACGGCTTAAATATAAGCTTCCTGCAACATATTTTTCATTGTGTCTTTCAGCAAAGCAAGATATCTTTGCTGGTTTAGTCTAGAAATATGACAAGCTAGTACAATACATTCTTACTGTCACAACTATTTGCTGAATGGTGGGCCATAGTGGATATGAAGTGATGTAGAAAGTCTACAAGACAAATAGTTTTTAGCACAAAATTATTAAAGAATCTTCAAGGACCTAACATAAGCGATGCTGATTTATAGATTCAAAATATGCCCTGGAGTCTTGGACAGCCTTATGTTTTGTTTCCCCATTAGCTACTGATGGGATGACTGAGCTTGGAAATTTGCCGGAATACATATTCCAGAAAAAATATTTATGGCTAAAATGTTTTATTCAAACACGAATAAAGCAAATTGAGACTAAAACTGCATAACCCTCTTTTATTCTAGAGGAACAGCAGTATCTACAAGAGGAGTTGTGGAAAAACTAGTCTGGAATAGCTATTGCAACAAAATGAGAGTGCATGAAATACTTGCAGTGGATACTGTAGTGTCTTTTAGAACAGGGCCAAGATAGACTCAAATGAGGCAAGAAAAATAAACAAACTAAGTATTAAACAAAAGAGGACCAGAATATGTTTGTCCTTGTTCAAATTTACATGAGAGGTGGAAGTCTCAAGGAGCTCTTCTGTTGCAGATATTCCTATATGGCTTACAGGAAAGATCAAAAGAATAATCCAGCACCAGACAGCATCAGTTATGAAGGATACCTGAACTGTTCTACTGTCAAGATGTCTGGGTGGCCACAGACATTCACTGAACTGACAGGTAAAAATAGATCTTGTTATAAGAATTTTATTCAGAGAGTTCAGGTCCTGCCTATGCCTTTCTGGAGTGCTGGTAGGACAGATGCACTTCTGTTGCACTCCCACTGCAGAATTCAGTAGGTCCGAGGCTCACATCTTCTTGTGGTTGGAAACTTTAGAGGCAGTTAAACTATTTGTTTCATTGACTTTGAATCCTGAGGCAGTTAAACTATTTGTTTCATTGACTTTGAATCCTAAAGCAAAACCAAATAATTTTATTGACATATAGTATAGCTAAGTGATTGGGAATTACAGTATTATATCCTCTCCAACTAAGTACCTACAGATGATGAAGAAAGCTTGAAATTAAAATGACAAGTTCAGAGCAAGTGGGGGGAAGAAAGATCTTTTTTTTTGCTGAATTGAGGTTTCTGTCATCACTAAAATGAGAACATGCTGCTCACACCATCTATTTGTTGTTGAGGGGATCTCACATTCTCAATTTTTAAACAGCTGAAAGGCAATATCATACATCAGAAAGTCTGTTTGGCCTTTCTCTGTATTAAGAAGAACATAGTGCATCATATTTCATCTAGCTTTAATATATCCCTTAAGCTGCATTGTCTGAAAAATAGAATATGAAGATGATACAGTAATATTTGCCAGGATCATTCTTTAAATTTAAACAATGCTCTTCAACAATGAAGTGTAATCCAGAACCTGTAATTCTCAAGCAGCAGTGCATTATCTGGACTTTTCAAAGTCATACTGGGTCCAGAAAAGGAGATTCACTACAGTACCCTGAAGATGACTGCAACAAGGCAGCAGTGATAAAACACCTCTGATTTTATCAACAGTAGGACCCATTTTTACCAGGTACCCCTCCGTTTTTTCAGGTTACATCTGATGTACGTGTAGTGATTTTAGGACATCGCATATCACTGTGGGCTTGGAAACATTATATAAAAGGGCTGGAAAAGGTAACAATTTGGGTATTAAGAGTTTTCTGACAGCACTGTTAATTTGATCTCTCCTTGTGTATTTTAATATACTTAAAAGGTTTTTCTCTCTGTGGTTATCTCACATTCTCCAGTAAATGTCAATTATTTGTGACTTGAAGACAACAGGGTCTTTTAAGTGTATCTGGCTAGACAAATAGCCTGTCCATCAAGTATGCACAAACAACTATTAGGCCCTCTATTAGAGGGAATATTGCCAGTTTCATTTATCTCATGATAAATGTTCAGAGGCTACTTCAAATAAATACTTTGAAAGAAAGAAATGTATAGAACTTCAAAGATAGGCCAGACCCATAGTAAAGTTATGATGAATGTCAAGGCTTGGATAGTCAGCTGGTCAAATGCAATTGAATGCATTAGTTGATATGGTCCATAATGGTTGTTAAGAAGGTGAATGAACATACCAAAAAAGTGCTACATAGGTGGACTCTATGGATGCTGCTTATCTGTGAATGTGAGGGCAATACAACTTCAAGGGTTAGGTGGTAGGAAGCAGGGCAAACTTGATTTTTATTTTTTTTTAATTTTACTTAATGATGCACATCCACATGTATTTAATACAAACCCCTGCTCATTCTGAACTAAGTTAGAGTGAGGCATTGCTAGACTAGTCGTTTTCATTATGTTAATATATTGTTTTCAGCCGCAACCAGAGGAGACAGTCTTAAAAAAAGCAGGTAATTTCAACCTTTAAAAAAGATTGTGCTCACTTCCAGACAGTTAGGTTGGTCTAGACATCTTATTTAAACTGCTTTACTGAAGTCTGTGGGAACTTTCTTATCTAGTCTAGAAACAGGAGATAGTATTTGAATGCTACACTAAATACCTTCAACAATAAATACCACTTTAACAGAAATAGGAATGATTTCTTTATCTTGGCACTGTTGGGAACCAGGCTGGACAGCTAAGGAGTTCAACATGTTGAATCACTGAAATGAAAGCCAGATAATATTATGTTGTGAGTAAAAGAAGGGGCTAAAGGAGTTAAGGAAGGAAATGGGGATAAAGAAGAACATGTAAAGTTGCTACACTATCATTTCTCTTAAGCATATGGGTCATGCCCACTGATGGTAAAACTCTCAAGCTCCTTTTTAGTTTTTCCTCTTACCAGCATGCATGTGCCTGGAAAGTCAGCAGAGGCTGTAAAGAGTGGAATATGTAATTTTTCTTTATTTGAAAGTACAATTATTTTTCAGGGATAGAACAGAGACTTTTTGAGTTTGTAAATCATTAACAGTCCGTATTTGTGCAAATATCTTTTTTGGTTTTAACTTTTAACACCATCACTCTGTAGGCTTTCCATGTTACTATTGTCTTTGTGTATTTGCAGTATTGCCACTAGCTCACAAAGTGTTTGTACCATCCATGCTCTGCTTATTGTATGCTCCTGCGGGATTAGAAGTATGATCAGTTCTGAGATTTGCCTGGCTTTCAACTTGCAGCTCCTACTGCATGTAGAAACTGATAGGCATTCCTTCTCCCTTCAGTTGTTTCAACAGTATTGAAAAGGCATAAACAAAAGGTGATTGAGGAGAAGGCCAGAGATTCCCATGGCACAGCAAGGACAGTACAGCCAGAAAACCAGTTTAGTGCATTCTTCCTTGCAGGAAGGTGCAGTGCCATTTATTCTCCAGTGCCGGAAGAACTTTACCATGGAAATAGGTGTGAGTTAAAGACTCTGAGGCTTCTCATCCTTCATTCCTGTGCCAAGTGTACATCTGCTGAATCAGAAAGTCATTGAGTGCTAGTGAGTGGCCTACTGCAGACTCTTGGGGTCCTGGTGCCTCTGGCAGGGTTGGGAAAAAGATGCCAGGCTGGAGCAGTATTGCCTCCAGTTCCTGAGACCCTTGGAGACAGCTGGTGCAACTATCTCGCAGAGATGTGGATGTCCACTGAGTGCTGGTCTTTGGTGAATACTAAGAAATAAGAGGATAATTTTATTTGGAAGAATAGAAGCAGTTATGCCAATGCTAGGGAAATACTGAGGTCTGAGGTGGTGGGAAAGAGATTAAGGTATAAGACTTAAAATATTTTTGCTAGAACTTACATAAGAACGGATTTTTAGCACCTCAAGTGCTCTTATTTATAAAAAACATGGCACATTACACAACTCTAAAAACATTGTTTCTGTTATATAAGGAAATACCTTTACTGTATGTACTGCTGCTATTGCCTGCAACAGAAACATGTTTCCAGATTTCTGGTGCCAACATATTTCCATTTTTGTTACCGATATGTTTCTTATCTCCCTGACAGCTTCCTTATTCAACTTTCTTCATTAAGAATTTCTTAATTTCGATTAGAGATCATTCTGATTAGCTTTTTAATTATGGCTAGAGAAGGCTATTTACAGCACTCCTGACTGCTATAAACCAGTCCCTGTGGGGAAACATAAGTAAAAAAGAGGTGAGCAGCTTTAAATAAATAACTACTATCATTTTCCATTGTCAAAAAGAAAGGGAAGCGTTTTCTATACCTTGTAGTAAATACAGACCTAAACTGGAAAGCACAGTTCGGGTTAGAGTCCAAAACTTGAAATGATCTGAAATTGAGTTAACTTTACCACAGGTATTTGCTATGACAATTTGGAAGGAATTCATAATTTAACTTTGTAAATTCTTGTAGGTAGTCCATTACATCACCTGGTTAAAGACAGTTATGTTAACCTGAGATACTTTTTATATGAGAGTACTGTACTGTATTACAGTACACAGAATAGTAATACAACTTCAGTATGATTTGTCAAGTAATCTTGAATTTTCCTCTTGTTGCAGATTCTCAAGTATCCCTGGTGACTATCTGCCTGCAGAATACTGGAAGTGACCCTTGAAGAAGGAAACTCCTATTGTCATCGTCAGGCTGAAATGAGATGGAAGTAGGCAGTGCTTGAAGACAGTTTGTGGAATCCATTAGGAAGCACAAGAAGGGAGTACCTTGTGAGTAACAGAAACAAACTCTGCTATGGGCACTGTTCTGTGGAATATATGGCCACAGATCCGTCTGGGAAACTTAGCCAAATATGCTTTCGAGCTCTCTGTAAAGGCAGAAATTTGGCTCATATTCAAGGTTAACTAAGTCAAATGTGATTATCTGTGTTCCTGTCTCTTCACTGATGAGCTCTTACGTCCAGTGGAACCTAAGGGACAAAGTCATTATCAAATGTCTAACATATAAGTCTACAAGTATGTGGTATGAACAGTAAAAATACTCCAATTTTAAACCTTTCTGTAACACATTTAGAAGAATAGGCACAAAGTAGTTCATCTTCTTTCCTTTACTTTAAATTCAATATACCTAGAAATGTTTTTACCATCATGTTTATAATTGTGTTTAGAATAAGAAAACTCTCATAGGTATTTCTGTTCAGTGCAATATACTTGTAACATCAAAAGAGTGTTGTTCCCTACTAATTCAACATTTTGCTTTCTTATATATTTATATGAAATGCTAGCGTATGTACAGTCAACTGTCACAACATGGAGCAAGACTAAGACTACCCTTTTTCAGAAGAAACCGACCTGATTGACATTCATTACACCAGCATAATAGCAGTACCTATCCAGTAGAGGACCTTCAGAAGCACTTTCACTGTTACAAGCACACATTTGTCAGGTTTCATTTCCAAATATCAAGATAAGGAACTAGGCAAATACATTCTTTTGTTAAGCTTATTTTCTACTTTTATAATTTGTGCAGTTCTCTTGCTGTCTACAGCAAATACTGAGGATTCATTACTAACCTCTGCCCCAAACCTTGGCCATAGGAGCAATGGTGACTCCAAACCATTTCTGTGCATAAAAGAATATGCTCTTCTGGGTTAGCAAGGAGAGAATATCAATACCTGACACTTAAAAGTGGGAGGTTTGCATTCCTGGTCCAAATGGACCTGCAGAATCAAAAACTCAATTTAGGTTGCCTGCATCCCAGGTGACTGCAGTTAACGTTAAAACTTGCTTTAGCCAGATAGCACCAGGATTTTTCTACTGCTGGGCATAAGGGCAAAATGTTGTAGGCACTAACATTTGGATTTTGAGAATTGGCTTTACTTTTTCTCTATGTCATTTAACAGTTATTTTATACTTTTATGTAAGTAACAATTTGAACTCTGCATATGCAGCTACATAGAATCTGTATCACCGAGAAGCAGTGATTGGTATTAGTGTGTACTGGTAGAAAACAGTAAGCCATATCCTTAGCTGAAGTAGATTAGTACTAGTAGAATCTGTAACCATTTCCATTGACTGACATTCAGTCCTAGATAGGCACAATGACCTGAAGTTACAGTCTCCTGCTTGAAAGTCAGGAATGGGAATTGGGAGATAGTGCATTTGTTGACAGGACATTAGCACACTTTTAAATATAATTATTATTAATTAACTACTGTAAATATACAGTAGTTATTAAGACCCAGTATTAGATCCCTGTGTCTTCTAATATTGCTTGTCTTATTTAGGCCCTTATTTTCTGTTTTTCTTGAGTATATTTCTTTAGCTCAGAATTGCTTATATTACCTTGGCTGAACTGAGATTTCAGAGTGAAGTAGTTTTAAAGCCCCAAGACAATGTTTTCTTCCTCTTCCTTCTCCACCCTCAACCACTACCACACATCCTTTCCTGACATCCCCAACCTTAAAAAGATTTTCTCTCACTTAAAGCAAACAGAAGCAATTTTCCTTTTTTTTTTTTTTTTTAAGAAAAAAAATAGAATCATAGAATAGAATCATAGAATAGTTAGGGATGGAAAGGACCTTAAGATCATCAAGTTCCAACCCCCCTGCCATGGGCAGGGACACCTCGCTCTAAACCATATTACCCAAGGCCTCATCCAACATAGCCTTGAACACTGCCAGGGATGAAGCATTCACAGCCTCCTTGGGCAACCTATTCCAGTGCCTCACTACCCTAACAGGAAAGAATTTCCTCCTTATATCCAATCTAAACTTCCCCTGCTTCAGTTTGAACCCATTACCCCTTGTCCTACCACTACAGTCCCTAATGAAGAGTCCCTCCCCAGCTTCCCTATAGGCCCCCTTCAGATACTGGAAGGCTGCTATGAGGTCTCCACGCAGCCTTCTCTTCTCCAGGCTGAACAGCCCCAACTTTCTCAGCCGATCTTCAAATGGGAGGTGCTCCAGTCCCCTGATCATTCTCGTGGCCCTCCTCTGGACTTGTTCCAACAGATCCATGTCCTTTTTATGTTGAGGACACCAGAACTGTACACAATACTCCAAGTGAGGTCTCACAAGAGCAGAATAAAGGGGCAGGATCACCTCCTTTGACCTGCTGGTCACACTCCTTTTGATGCAGCCCAGGATACGGTTGGCTTTCTGGGCTGCATGCGCACACTGCTGGCTCATGTTCATTTTCTCATCGACCAGCACCCCCAAGTCCTTCTCCGCAGGGCTGCTATGAATCTCTTCTCTGCCTAGCCTGTAGCTGTGTCTGGGATTGCTCCGACCCAGGTTTAGGACCTTGCACTTGTCATGGTTAAACTTCATGAGGTTGGCATCAGCCCACCTCACAAGCGTGTCAAGGTCCCTCTGGATGGCATTCCTTCCCTCCAGCGTATCAACCAAACCACAGAGCTTGGTGTCATTGGCAAACTTGCTGAGGGCACACTCAATCCCACTGTCCATGTCACCGACAAAGATGTTAAACAAGACGGGTCCCAACACTGATCCCTGAGGGACACCATTCGTAACTGGCCTCCAGCCGGACATTGAGCCATTGACCACAACTCTTTGTGTGCGGCCATCCAGCCAGTTCTTTATACACTGAGTGGTCCATTCATCAAATTGATGTCTCTCCAATTTAGAGACAAGAATGTTGTGCGGGACAGTATCGAACGCTCTACGCAAACCCAGGTAGATGACATCAACTGCTCTACCCCTCTCCATCAGTTCTGTAGCCCCATCATAGAAGGCCACCAAATTGGTCAGCAGGATTTCCCCTTAGTGAAGCCATGCTGGCTGTCACCAAGCACCTTGTTGATTTTCATGTGCCTTAGCATGCCTTCCAGGAGAGTCTGCTCCAAGATTTTGCCAGGCACAGAGGTGAGACTGACTGGTCTGTAATTCCCTGGGTCATCCATTTTCCCCTTCTTGAAAATGGGGGTTATATTTCCCTTTTTCCAGTCGCCGTGAACTTCACCTGACTGCCATGATTTTTCAAATATGATGGCCAGCGGCTTAGCAACTTCATTTGCCAGCTCCTTCAGGACCCGCAAATGTATTTCATCAGGACCCATGGACTTGTGCACGTTCAGATTTTTAGATGGTCTCGAACGAAATCCTCTCCTACGGTGGGCCCAAGGTCTCCATTCTCACAGTCCCTGCGTCTGCTTTCCAAGACTTGGGTAGTGCAGTCAGAGCCTTTGCTAGAGAAGACCGAGGCAAAGAAGTCATTCAGAACCTCAGCCTTCTCCAAATCCTGTGTAGCTAGTTCACCCGAGAGCTTCCTGAGGGGGCCTACGTTCTCCCTAGTCTGTTTTTGATTTGCTATGTACCTGTAGAATCCCTTTCTGTTATCCTTAATATCCCTAGCCAAGTTTAATTCTAACTGGGCCTTAGCTTTCCTAGCCTGGTCTCTAGCTTCCCGGACAACAACCCTGTACTCTTCCCAGGCTGCCTGTCCTTGCTGCCACTTTCTATAAAGCTCTTTTTTCATTTGAATTTTCCTCAGGATATCCTTATCCATCCAAGGAGGTCTCCTGGCCCTCCTGCTGCACTTTCTTCTAGTTGGGATGCAACACTCCTGAGCTTGTAGCAGGTGATCCTTGAAGACCAACCAAGAGTCTTGAGCCCCCCTGCCCTCTAGGGCTATATCCATGGAACCTTACTAAGCAGGTTCCTGAAGAGGCTGAAGTCTGCTTTTTTGAAGTCTAGGGCAAGTGAGCTTGCTGCACGCTCTTCTCACTGCCCTAAGGATCTCAAATTCAACCATCTCGTGGTTGCTGCATCCAAGGCTGCCCTGGAGTGCCACATTTCCAACGAGCCCTTCCCTGTTGGTGAGCACAAGATCAAGCATGGCACCTCTCCTTGTCGGTTCCTCTATTACTTGCAGAAGGAATTTGTCTTCCACACAATCGAGGAACCTCCTGGATTGCTTGTGCCGGGCCATACCGTCATTCCAACAGATGTCAGGGTGGTTGAAGTCACCCATGAGAACGAGGGCCTGTGAGTGTGAGGCTTTTCCTATCTGCCTATGGAGTGCTTCATCCGCAGATTCCTCTTGATCAGGTGGTCTATAACATATCCCCACAGTAATGCCTCCCATCGCTGCTTTCCCTTTAACCCTAACCCACAAGCTCTCTGTTATCTGCTCACCTGTCCCCAGACAGAGGTCCATACACTCCAGCCTATCCCTAACCTAAAGGGCAACTCCCCCTCCGCGCCTGCCAGGCCCGTCTTTTCTAAAGAGTCTGTAACCTTCCATTCCAACACTCCAGTCATAGGAGTCATCCCACCATGTTTCTGTGATGCCTATAATATCATACCCCCGCAGACGAGCACACATCTCTAATTCCTCTTGTTTGTTCCCCATGCTGCGGGCATTTGTATACAGGTATCTGAGCCGAGCTCCAAACGAAGCTGGCTCATTGGCTAGAGCAGCTGGAATGTCTCTGCATTGCTCAGAGCATTTATTATAGGTGCTGGCAACTGACTGGGAGTGTTGGGATGGAATGATGCCCCCCTCCCCCAACACATCTAGTTTAAAGCCTCCTTAACCAGTCTGGCAAGCCTCCTACCAAAACTGCCCTTCCCCTTCCTTATGGGACCAGCTCCACCAGCCCCCACTAGACCTGGCCTACAAACTTGGGTCCCATGTTCAAGACACCCAAACCCCTGACTGTGACACCACCCTTTTAACCATTTATTAACCTGGTTAATACTCCTAGCTTTTTTTAGGTCCTCCCCTGTATCCTGGAGAAGAGACGAAAAGACAACCTGAGCTCCAGAGCCCTTAACCACCTCTCCCAGGGCCCTGTAGTCCTTTTTTATGCTCCCCAGGCTACTACTATCTATATCCCTAGCACCCACATGTATCCTCAGAAGTGGGTAATAGTCCGTGGGGCTTACTAGAGCAGGCAGCCTCTCTGCCACATCCCTGATCTGTGCCCCTGGTAGGCAACACACCTCCCTTGAGAGTGGGTCAGGCCAACAGACGAGTGCTTCTGTCCCTTTCAAAGTAGAGTCCCCTACCACTATGACTCACCGCTTTTTCCTGGCAGCACCAGTAGAAATCTTTACTAGTGCATCACCAGGCTGTTTCTGGCGCGAGCACGTTCCCTCATGAGCCCCCTGCAGGACAGCAAAGCGGTTCTGCGTGGGGGCAACAGGTTCAGGAGGAAGTCCCTTCCTTTTAATTGTCGTTTTCCTCCTTTTTTTTTTTTTTTTTTTTTTTTTTTTGTCACCAATTCCTAGCTTTGAGAGCTAACAGCCTCCTTCTTTCCTCCATGAGCTACAGGGGAAGCTTGAGAACTCCGCAGAATTTGGGCAGGGAGCAAGCATTCCTGTTCTCTCTCAGCTACCCTGACATCCTGTAGCTTATTAATAGCTTCCCGCAGCTCGTCCACCTGCTGCAGGAGAAACTCCACCTGGGAGCACCCAGTGCAGGCCTGCCTATTGCGTACCCTTCCCTCACCAGAGCAGTGCAGGCACTCTCTACACCCCGAAGTCTGCACTGCAGCCCCTCCTCTCATTGTCTCTGTCTGGGTGCCTACGGTGGCCACTGCTGGGGCAGCCAGAGCAGAGCTCCCAGACCGGGCCCTGGTCATGCGGCGAGTGCTCACCATCCCGCTCACCTGCCCGTGCAAACTGCCTCGACCCGCTCTGCTCGCTCGCGCTCCCTGGGGCAGGTTTTTAACCAATCAGGGCTGGTGCCGTTTCTCCTGGCTCCGCCCCTGGTGAGTCAGCTGCTCATATCAGCTGAGCTGCGGGCTCCTGGGCAGGTCTTGTCGAGGACTTGAGGCTCCCTCAGTGGCTCTTGGCGCTCTGAGTTGAGGCTCCTGGACGCTGATCTCCCCCTCTCCGGTGTTCAAGGTGTCCTCTCTCAAGCTACTCACCTCAGCAACTGACCACAATATAAACATAACATATAAACATATAACATAAAACAAAACATATGTTTTATAACATATAAAAAATTACTGTTCTTGCCAAGAAATTAAAAGAGCTAGGCTAAACAACTAAGTATGACATAATCTTCTCTATTTCAGTTTCCACGCTGAGCTTTTTTTTTTTTTTTTACGTGTCTGTTGCCATTATCTGGTTTGTCATATCCTCCCTTCTAAATTGCGAAGTAACTCTTGCTCTGCTGTCTTCTGGTGTGGTTACAGCTCTGAGTGCAAACATGTTCTCCTAATTTTTCCTCCTAAAACCACCACTCCCTAAATCCCTTAAGCTCTGCACTCTTCAATGATTTCTTAAAAAAAAAAAAAAAAAAAGAAAAAAAAATGCATTTATTGAATCCTTGGTCTGAGTACTTGGCTCCCTTTCATTTCTGTGTCCTCCTAAGCACAGCTTTAATCCATCAGTTGGATACAGGCTACGTCCCAACTTTATCACTAGTTAAACCATTTAATCCATCTTTCTGGCTTTTTCACATGGACAATGAGGTATATAGATTCCTGCTACTACATATAAAGAATTTGAAAAGCTTTACACTGCAGTTTTTTAAACCTACTTACTAGCACTTATTTCCTGTTCTAGTATATACTACATACTAAAGTGATTTATGCAGTTACATGGTGGTAGACATCTAAGATCAGATACGCTTCAGCATTCACAGAACAGCCCCATTTCTACAGATCTAAACCGTACCTGTCACAGTTCTTGTGCAGACACCATCATTTTAGGGTGGAGAGGGAAGGGCAAACAGGGACACCTCACTAATTTTTCTATTGCTTTGGTTCTTGTAGGTCTTATAGAACAAAACAGCTTCTGCACAGGCAAGTCTGTTTGTCTGAGACCTGGTTGAATGCCATGTTGAAAGGACCTCCACCTAGACTAGTGGAACAAAGAAGACAGGTATGTTTACTTTAGGGTCTATTCTGCTGCCAGCTCATCATGGCACAGAAAATTTCTTAATAAAATACTAACTTTTAATAAAAAGGCAGATTCAGGAGATGAGAAATAGAAATATGAACACTTTGAGTATATCTGTGCAAGCATCCTCCAGAAATGCAACATTCTACTATGCATTAAAAATGTAACTATTAAATAAACACTTAAAAATGGAATAATTGTTCATAACTGTATGTAATGACTCTCTCCCTGGGTTAATATTTCATTAATACACAGCTAAGACATCTGTGAAAACCTAGTTTAGATCAGCTTTGTTATTTCCGTAACACAGGAGATCTGAGTAACTATAGTAATATTTTATTGATCACAAACATAATAATACTTCATTCAGCAATTAAAATGCATGATGATTCATATGAACGAAATTAAAACAAAGCACAATCAAAAAATAACTTCACATTTTTTCAATGTCATTCTTAGTGTAAGCAATAAATACAATGCTGTAGCTTCTATTAATCTTATTTACATAGCACAATACTTGAATGTTGCTTGGTTTCCAGCCCAAATGTTTCATGACATGAAAAGGAGTACGTGTTGCAGCATTTCTACAGCCAAATACTCTAGTAGATCATCACATAGCATAAATGCTAACATTAAAAATCAAACAACAGATACTGCAATGGCACGTTTTATTAATTGAAGACAGTAGCATTAAAAATAGACATTCCCTCTCGTGGAAAACTATCATGTTGGTATTAGAGATAGAGACCAAAGACAAGTATTTCTGTAGCCCCTGTAGACTGATGCAATAAATCCTCACTAAACAACAACAAAAACCCAACCCAACCCAAACCAAAAGCCCAAAAAGCAAACAATACACGTTCAAAGAAATCTCACAGGCCCAACAAAAAAGTCTATATCCATCCCAGAGCTCACAGATAAAGACTACAACATTTTGTAAAGTAGAAAATAAGGAAAGAGAAATCAGCATAAGGGTTTGATTTCAATTTATGATGACAGAGAAACATGTCAAGAAGCAGACCCTTCTCTTGATTGTGTAGGAACTGAAAAAGGTGAGGTAGGAAGGCAAAATAGGGAATTTATGTTTTCCAATGCAAAACAGGAAATAGATTAGCTAACCTCCTGAGAAGGGGGAAACATAGCTCTCCTATGCCATGTAACCCTCCACAGCTACATTTTCTCGCACATCCAACTGTATGTGTACTTAATTTCGAAAGTGCAAGCATGCACAGGAGCATGCTGCAACTGTCCAGCTAGAAGTAGGATGATTTCTGTAGAACAATTTTCCCTTCTAAATTACCATTACAGGTTTCTCTAACAGAGGACAGGGAGCAATTACCAACTAGTACGTTGCATCATATGAAAAAAAATTATAGGTTATTAAATTTGAACTAGTTGAGAAGGAAGCTTAATTCAAAATCTAATATTGTATTACGCTCTATAAAGTGTTGCATACACTACAACAATCCACAAGGTACTATGAAATAATTGCCAGATGACATAAAATACTTCAAAGCACTTTTAAATGGACAGATGTCTGCCTGGGCTTTGATCCTCAGCTGGTACCCACTGATTTTGAAAATAGAACTCAAGACAGATCTATACCAGTTGATGATCTAGTCCTCCAGTATAAAGCTGCTCTACCAGAGCAGGGATTTGCAACACCACTAGTATTTCCAGAACACTGCACAGATCTTAAGCAACACTACACAGATCAGCAAGCACCAGTTGTAACTAACTTCTTATCACATTGTAGCAGATCCTGTTACTGTATTCTTACAATTTAAGAGATTGTGACATCTGACTGCCATACTTCACACTATTCTGAAGTACAGAATCCTACCGATTTTCAAATAATTCTCATCAATCAACAGCCCTGGAGAAGAGCAGAAATCTTGATCCATGCATCCTAGCTGAGATTCTGTATTATGAAACTAAATCATTAATAAAATTTTAAGATTCAAACACCAGACATAAGAACTGCAAAAAACTATGGAAAGGCACAAGTGGCATGAACTTACTGCTTCCTCCTAATGTTTTCCTTCTCAATACAAAGCATTTGAAGCTATATGAATTTACAAACTAGTGAACACTGTGACAGCAAAATAACTAGATGCTAATGAAGCTTACAGAAAGGCTACTGACAAAAATGATTAAATGTGAAAGTCAAGTTGTTCGTATACACAAGTAGGTATTTAAAACTGAAGTGGTGTCAGAAAGAACTGTCTTTCATTCTTTTGACTGGCTTACATGCACCAGATAGATATACATTAATTATCATAATTGTCTGTCAACTCCAGCACTACTTTTCTTCTACTTCGTTTGTTTTTTCCCCACTTGAAGTAGATTTATCTGCAAAATAAACTAATAAAACCTTTTTCTACCTTATTGATTTTCAGTAAGACTTTTATAACCTCACATCATGCCCTCATTCTTGGGCATTTTCGTCATTTCACTTAAGAAAACTACAATTTCCTTAAAACAAAGATTTACAAAAACATAGATCACTATAAAGATGGATTTTCTCAAGTCCTTCCTGACCTCATTTTCAGTGCGATCTTTATTCCCCACCAGAACCAACAAAAAACTTGTTAAGTATTGTTCAAAGCTACTAAGAGAGATTCGGAATCAAGCATTCCAAATAATATTATCATCCATACTGTTTTGAACCCTTGTAAGACAAACTTTATATTGGGTTTTCCAAATAATGATTGTTACTGTCATTAGGTTGCATGATTAGCCTGAATCTCATGCACTGGCTTTAAAGGTCATATGACATTTGCACTGCATTCAGTCTTACAGGCTTTTTTCCCCGACAAAAAGCTGCCACAAAATTGATCAGAACTTTGCCCCAGCAATGAAGGAATATGTTATCAAGCATATGGCCAGGGAAACACAAATAAAACAACAACATGACTAGAACAAATTATATACATGAGTGTTTCCCAGTTGAGTAAATTCCTTACACACACAGTAAAGTTCCATCAGCTTCAGTTATGCGTTAGTGCCTGTAAGGATTTGCACTTACTCAGGTTACCACGCTCCTTTCTGGCAGTAATGCCTCCTTGACCTTGTCTGTCTTAAAGTCAATCAGAAATTTCCATAAACTTGAGAAGGAGACACTCCTGTATATGCAAAAGTAGTTTAAATAAAACCGCTCAAAGCATGCTGTGAAATACTACATTAGTAATATTACAGAGGTAAGTAAAATCTCAAATTTACACTGGTGTATCTATGCTTGATTTAAAATGGTGGAAAAAAGTAATTGACCAAATCAAACCTTCAGTATTATTGACCAAACCAAATGGTCAATGTCTGAATCTGTTATCTCAGACTACCTCTTGGGCTTTTTGACAGTCAAATGCTGGACACAAAATGAACCTAGACAATCTATTGTCGTCACTGCACCTACTTTAACCATTTTCTTTTGTTGTGTTTTAGGTTGAATTAAGACAATACAGTATGGTATTTACACTCCAAGATTCTATAGACAAGTGAAGTGGCATCAACACAACACAGTCTTGTACAAACTTCCAAGAAAAAAAATAAAATCCTTCATTGATTCCCTTTGTACAAAAAATTGCCAACTTTGTCTACACAGTAGAAACTGAAGAGGCAAAGTTTGTATCCTCATATAAATGCACATAGATATATAGATATATACATGTACAGATGTCTATAATATAAAGATACACATAAAAACAAAGATATGTATATATGCATACATATACATTCATATGAAGAACGTGTTAGTTTAGTTTGCATCATTCAGGGGAATAACATATCCCAGGTTAGGTAAAATCTTCTGGCCATGAAGTCATTAAATCAAATTTGGGAGTTCAGGAAGGTAAGCACAGTGGCATAGGCCAAGCCTTTGGCAGTCAACCATACATTTTTTCAGTTTTTAAAACAACACTCTCCATGTCATGGTAGCCCTTCCCATTTAAATGTTCACTAGTGCAGTCGTGATTATAGCTGTAGCCTTGAACATCGCTGATGGACGATACGGTATAGGAAGCTGTGCGCATGGCATCCGAGTGGCTAAAACTGTGCTCAAACTGGATTTTGTACTGATTCCAGTGTCTTCTCAAAACAGCTTGGACCTGTGCCAGAAGGCAAAAAGAAATGCATATGAAACACCTGGAAAGATAGCACTGGACTTCACTTTTTGATGCATGGGGGCATAATAAATGTGTCTAAGCAAATTAGGTAGTAAAGCTGAGTAATCCTGGAAAATGGGGGTACCTACGTGTGATCTGTCACATGACATGTTCTGATTTACAATTTAAGTAGACATTCTTTAGCAAATTTAGTATGAAATAATTGCATTTTACAACGGGAGTGTACTAGTTGCTCAGGAAAAGCACAGATTAAAGGATAAGCAGCAGCAACACAGTTACTTTCTCCCCTGTGGACTAAATTCTGGTGTGGAGAACTCAGATTTACAGGTGAAAAAGGTCACTTCTAAGCACTTTTAATTCAAAAGACTACATCCTCAGCAGCTGTAAATTTTTATACTCGCAACAAACCATAATTCACATTTGCTCTGGTTCTGGCCTTCCTTTATTTCTGCCCATACCTTAATAAAATGAATAGCAGGACAATTTCCCAGACTCCATTATTTCTACCAGGGTTAAAAATAAAGCTGATAAAATAGCTGAAGGCCTTAGGCTTACATGTCTCCACTGAAAGGATGTTATGTTTATCAGAGCCTTCCTCTCCTACAGTATGGTTAAACACCTAATGCACAGGGGATTGATCAAGTCTCACATTCATGAAATTCACAGGGAATTAGTCACTCTCTGAAGGTGCCACGTGTGGAATGATAATCGCAATAGCTATCATTTATGTATGCTTTTTCCAGAGGGTTTTATTTTAATGTTAAGAAAACTGCCCACAGATCATGCATGTTTAATTTCCTCTTCAGCCAAGTCTGCACACAAAGTATTCCTGCACTGACTGGCAAGGTGCTGACTTTCAGGAACTGCTGGGGGACACTGGCACTCACATTTATCCAGCAGTGCAACCCACACTCACAGGCCTCATTCCCAAGCATGACCTTCATTTCAGTTTGTTACACACAAAAGAACTAAACAGTGAACAGTGATTCCCTCAGTTAAATGTTGATGTTGAGGATAAATATTTTTAGGATTCTCCCCTATGTCTTCAGGGTTTCTTTTGTGCTTGCTTTACATTTCCCTAACACAATGGCTTCCTCTGTCTCATTTTACTTTTTTATGAAAAATAAATAGAAGAAATCTGATGTAATTTTTAGACTTCCTGCAGTCTGGTATCAGCATCCTCTGTTTAAAGGAGAGCTTCATCTTTCTCAAAATCCTCACAAAGAAAATATGAAGGCATAAGGGAAGAAATAACTTAAGAAATTAGTATTTTAGGTCAAAGGAGATGCTCTTCTACCGTTCATAAAACCATTCCAATCCACCCAGAACATCTAAACACAAATCTACAAACACTGAAATCAAGCATCTTAATACTGCTGAGTATTTGATTTTACCTCTCTTCATATCAAAATTCTGTATTTCTTCCAAGTCTAAATGGAGAATTCTTGTTTCATCACAGGACACTTCTGATTAATTAATTTACATTGCATAGAAATATAGACCCTTAAATCTCCACACAGGTTCAATCCATGCCCTCTAATCCCTCATAAAGCCAAGAGAAAAGCCATATTCAAAATTTCCTACTTCCAAGAATGAATTTTGGAACTTATTTTTATAATTATATTATTATTTTGATTTTTATATCATGCAATCTGTGCATACCACTAAGCTATGTTCCATTTATTCTCCTTTCCATAGTCAATTACCTCAAGAAGAGCAAGGTCTTCTTGTAGACAAACATGCAAAAAATTACATACTGAGCAACTGTTACATTAGACAGGACAGGCTTGAGATGGGATAATATGAGCAACTGCAACTTCATGGCTTAACCAAGGTCACAGAAGTCTACTGGCAGAGTGGGGAAAAAAACAAAAGAGTTGCCAAGTTGCAAGCAAGCATTGCACTGAGGTCCTCTCCCACACTTCCTCCTGGCTGCTTCTTGTTTATCTTTTAAATTGTTACTAATATTTGGAAACCAGTCGTAAAGGGTCCCCATAGCTCAAGAAAGCCATCAGTATCCCTGCCAGAGCCCTTTGGGCTACTTCTAGGGAGAAAACAGTCTGTTTAGCTTGCTCTCCAGCCAGTGACAGATTGCCATAAATAGTGTTTCCTGTATGGGCAACCATTTCCTTTGTGCCCGAGCCAGTGCCCATCATGGTTCATTTCTAACTAAGCTATGGATTTTTGGCATTCTTCCCAAATCCTCTCTGTTACTGCTGAATCAGTATTTCACCTGTGTCCTGCTACACGACTGTTCCTCTAGGCTGTTACATCCTTTCATTTACTATTAGTTTTTTGGTCTTTGAATTGTCCAATCAATCATTTCTAGAATACGATGGCAAAACTCCACGGCACAACTGATTTTCACCGCTGATTATACTCTTTCTAACAATATGCGTGTCTACCCGTGGAGTGAAAACCTCAGCTTTTTGTATCACACTTTTCTCACCTTTGAGCAGTTGCACAAAGCTGTAAATTCAACTCAGGAGGGGTAGCACTTAGTTCTAAGATAGAACTAAGATAGCATCTAAGGAAGGATATTAAGCTATGCATTTAATGAGAGAAAATAATGTAATAAATAGAAGTGTCTTAGTCATTAAGAGAAACACTAGTTCCAGCTGGACAATCATCACTTTCTCACCTTATTAGTTAGCAAGAGCTCTTTTGGGGGAATTTTCATGAAAGGCTCCTTCCAATCAGCCCTTTAACAAACTAGTTAATTGATGTTTAATACAAGCAAAAATTAATGAGCTAACTAACAGTAGCTGACAACAAGAGAAAAAAACCCATCAGCCTTGCCTATTAATAAATGTATTGTATAATCCTGTGGACCTGAGACTATCATAGAACGGCTTGGGTTGGAAAGGGCTTTAAGATTAGTTCCAATCCCCCTGCCAGGGGCAGGGATGCCTCACACTAGACCATGTCTCTGAAGGCTCTGTCCAGCCTGGCCTTGAACTCCAGGGACGGAGCATTTAACCACTTCTTTGGGCAACTTGTGCCAGTGCCTCAGAATCCTCACATCTTTACTGCATCATTTCTGTAGACCACTGGAAAGAAAGAAAAAAACTCCAAACACCAGAGACCTTACACGGATCATGTAGGTTGTTATTATCACTGTTATTAATAGCTTAATAGGAATCTTTTTACCGATTTATCAGAGGTCTGGGACAAACTTCTCCTATGACTGCAGCCTTGTCAACTCAAATGCCACTCTCAGCCAACTCAAACTGGAAAGTATGGTAAGGAAGCTAAGAGGTATCTAATTTGTGGGATGCTGGGACATAAGCAGAATTTGGGTGTCCTCAGGGAAGCCTTGCCATAGAAAGTAAAGATGAAGAGCTTACACACACACCCTTGTCTGTAGGAGGGTTGTGACTAACAGCTGCAGTACATGTCAGAACTGGATTTGACAGATCAGCCCTGGCCACATCGCTCAAGCAGTCTGGAGATGTTCCTTGGCTATGTCAGCAGTACATACCAGCCATTTTTCTTACATTTCTTAGTTTCCTTTCACTAGAGCTCTCTGCTAGTAGACCACTTTTATTAATTTTTTGGCCAGAGGTGGCCTGAAAAGGCACCAGTTGAGGAGGGTTTGGCTCCTAGTATTTGGTATAGAAAAACATTAAAAGGTAGAATAACAGTTTGGAAATGCTAAGATGCTTTTAACATTTCTAATTGCTAACACCCCACTGTCACTCAAAGTACCAATTCTAGTGTCAGTATTCACCTTTAAACCATAGACTTGGAGCAGAAAGGATTAACACCACTCTCTGACACCTCTCATCTTGTACAGTTTCTAATGAGGTGTTGCTATGACAGGTAAGAAACAGCCACTATGCTGCAGTTGCAGGCTTTGTTCAGGCACTGGTATGACAGTAAGAGACAATAATGGCAACAGAATACATGCGTGCCTGCAGGCTCACATACCAAACACAGAATCCTTTCCTAGACAAAGGAAACACTTCTGTTTTTAGAAGGCATTCCGAAGTATGAAATTTATATATATATTGATGCTGAATACAGTCAAGTGATCAAATTGGATCCAGAAACCTTAATGATGTGTTCAGCTTCAAATCAAATACATAAGCAGGGACTTGAGCCCAGATTTATTTTATGCTAAATCCGGTCAAAACCACTGCCCCATGCCCACTAAAGTGGGAGAAAGCCTACCTTCATCTTTTCTGCCCCCTTTGTAAAATCATTGAGTATCATATATTTTAGGGTGGTGGAAATAAACTGTGCAACCCCATGGTAGTTTCATTGCAGTTCAGCCAGCACTGGACTTAAGAAGAGAAGGAAGGGTGATGTACATAAATCAATCCTAGTACAAGCCAAGTATTTACCTCTAAGTAAGTATTACTGTCCAATAACATTATATTAGCACACTGACAGGATTTTATTACATCTGATAGAAGAAAATAAGGGTTCAGTGACATGAAAACATCTGGTTACTCCCACACATCAGCTTACAGCCATATACTACAACTGTTTCAACTGTAGAAAAAAATCATGCAAACAAACGAGTAGGAATAAGTGTACAACTGTAACTGTTCCTCTGCCAAAAGTGTTGGAAAAGAACCATCTAGTTTTTCTGGTGGAGGGTTTCTGTTTAACTTTTTTTGGGGTTGTTTGGGGTTTTTTTTGCAAGCAAAAGTCATACTAACAATTCTGTATACGTGTCTTTTAGCCTTTCTACCATTTTGATCTCTGACACTGTGAAGTCCTGTTCTCTCTACACCTTAGGGACAAGAGTTCCTAGATGAAAGTCTTTGTGTGTACTCCAAGACCCTGACCTATTCAAGATAAAAGCAGTGCTTGTTAGCTTCATCAGGATCAGTACCACATAGGAAATATGGCACAATCCTTCAACATAAGAATAAAGAAGTTTGTTCTTGGAACTGACTAATAATAGTTACTTAAAAGTGCGCTTCTTAATCAACACAAATTTCTGACCCAAGCACAATGAGCTTTGATTTTTTCAATTATATTTTTCATCTGTGAAGGAAAATTTTTCCAAACTTCAGCCTAAAATTCTCCTAAGGAGCTGTCATAACATGAGCCCACCATCATGTTTGCAATATGCTCTAATAGGTCTGCAGAAAGACCTATACACTGATTCTCCAGGCTAACAGTTGCTATACAGCTTCTGACATAAACAAATATACCTTCTGAATACTGACTTAGATTTCACTTTTATATGATATTTATTGAGATTTTATATCAAAGTGACAAGTGTCTTCAATTCCTTATATAATCGAGAGGCATATAAATGATCAGCAAGAGTCAGTCCTACAGTATTTAATGATGCCACAAATGATGGCACTGTCTTTCCCATGCTCTGCTCTTGGCAGCCAGATACTTATTTACTTATTTTTTACCTGACAAATTTAGATTTAGAAAATAAAATTACCATCTCCTTAATTGCTGAAACATCAAATATATATAAAAAGGAAAAGTGTTATACATTTATATCAAAAGTTATTACTCTACCTCTCCATTAAAGAAGCAGAAGATTGTAGCCACCAGTAGACCCTGTAAAACAAAAATAAAGGTTCTGCTTTATTTCACATGCATCTAGGATTTTTTTAGATGCATACAGGGTTAGAGAGAATTATGGGTTTCTGATAAAATTCAGCTAAACATAGCAAAAAACGTGCAGTACAAATCTAAACTTGGTAAATTATATCTAGACATTCACTACTAAAAGGTCTTGGGCCAACTATTAACCATGGTGTTTCTACCCTTTTAATAAATTAAAATTCAGTAGAATGAGAAATTTCAAGCTATTCATAATAATATTGCATTAATGTCTTTAAAAATTAAAATAACAATCATTTCTTTTATTTGCTTCACATGCCAGCTGCTATCTAGCCCAAGTAAGCAAAACCTGTTTAATGCTTCCTACCTGATAATGCATAAGGATGTGCATCACGTAGTCATACACTTCCTCGGCAATCCGGCCTTCTGGTCGCCATGGAAACAGGACAAACTCAATACCAAGCAGAGGGACAAGGATCAGGGTAGCTCTCACTGCTTTCATGTACAGGTTGGATTCTGCCTTGTGGGTGTCTTTTAGCTTTGTTATAAGAACACGAACTATATTTAGCAGGAAGAAAAGATTCACCTGTTGGAAAAGGAAGTGAAACTGAAGGTCTGAAAAATCATCCCACACACTGGTTTGTAATTTAAAAAAATTAGACAACTGAAGAAAACTCATACCGCATGGACAGCACTGTGACTGTGCAATAAACACGAGTTAAACCTCTTTGAGATCACATTAAAGTGCCTGAGATGTGGTTCTAACATCTATCCCCATCTATTCCTCTAACTTATTAAGCAAGCGTCAAACTAATTAACCACTGGTCTTCCAGTGTTAACAATCCACGTGCCATTCTCTCTGCTATCATGGTAACAGTACACAGGTCAATGATTAGGTTTTGAAAAATTACTGTCTTTTCAGGTTGGGCAAGAAGAACTCTTCCCTCTATGTATTTAAACATGATTCTTCAAAAAACTACTTTTTTTTTGTATTTTTTGAATATGAATTTAACAAGTATAGAGAAAAAAACGCACCCATACATGTAAAAACAAAATTGCAGGCAGAATGCTAAACTTACTTCCATTGCCTTAATAGGATTTTCTTGTTGACAGCAGTGTGTATCTGTTCATACATTTTGAGCAAAAATAAATCCTACACTGCAATCATGACTATGCAGACTGTATCAGACATGTGAGCACTTGCCATAAGCAACAGCAAAACTCATACACACGTGTGTATATGTATACATTTATATACACACACATACCAAGCCTAAGGATGCAAGGAACCAGAGCAACAGCAATGTTAGGGATTGTTACACTGTACTTTTCATCTGCTGTGTAGTGGCAGCCCATTATGGAAACTACAGCTAGAAGGAGAGCTTTGGAGCTTAGTCTGTCCCCTTGCCTCACTCTAGGGCACAGAGGCAAGACCCTGCTGCTTAGGGTACCCAGCATGGAAGGGAAAGACCTAGAGTCTGCTCCTACCTCTTCTTCCAGGTAACTGTCCCTGCCAACAGCTATCTAGAGACAAAAGGGAGGGCTGGGTGAAGAAGCCAGCAGGCAGACACAGGTAACTCCCTCCTAGAAAGACTAGGAATCCCTGGTCTGGGAGGAGGCATCTGTCTTGCAGCAGGCCAAGCGCAAACAGGGAAGCCATTTCAGACCATGCATGTCACCCGGTCTTCCACAGCCTTGGCAGACTTCTTTCATGTTGGTTAAATTTTTCAAAAAAGATCAGCTGTATATTTGTTACAGCAATGGGGCCCTTGACAGATATGTGATGTTATTTATATTCTAGTTACATGCTATTTAAACCATTTTAACAGGAAATTGTTTTACATAAGATACTACTGTATGAATTCCTCTCGGAAGTATCCAGCTACCTTTAAGCATTGTTTAAACATCCAAGGTCTTCTGATTCTTTCTCAAGAGCTTTATTTAGATTATATGCAGCCCATGATCCTCATCCAACTTCCTATAGCACACACAGACAGTAAGCCCTTCTTCCATTTCTAAATTTAATCCTTCACAAATCTACTTGCTCAACATCAACATGTCTCAAACCTCAACAACAAACCTAGAGTTTCCAGCCCTGCTCCTGCTTTGGTAGCAAGGACAATTCCTCTAATACTGTCCCTAAATGCTAGCTGAAGATGCCAAGTAGCAGCAGCCAGGTGTAAGATATCATCCAGCAAACTATTTCTTTTACAACATGCTGAATCGGAGAGAATTGTTCCAACTGTTCCACTTACCCATACACAGCAAAAAGCCAAAAAAAAAAGGAATGCAGAGCTTGAAAAGAAATATTAGGGAAAAGGGAATAGAGGGATGAGGCAAAGCAGAGGACAGAGTTGAGATGACTATGAGTGTCTGTAAGAGTATGCAGCATCAATTTTTGATGAGTATCTCTTCTGTCACAAAAATATAGTGAGATCAGGATGAACTGAATTCTTAATTAAAGTGAAGAAAACAGGTCTTGATTTTATCAAGGCAGTGAGTAGAGTTTTTACATTTAAGCAAAAGTAGGCCAGTGAAACTACTCACATGTATATTATCATCAAATTGACTGTGATGGCTTGGGAAGCCCCAAATGAGCCCTGTTGTGTTAGCTGCAGTATGAACAGAGAGCAAAATACTGGCAGCTCCACAGTGGCCTGACAATTGAACCAGCCAGATGAACAAAAATGGAAGCAAAGGCACAGAAGGAAGCCCTAAATAAAAATAAATGCTAGTGCCTGTACTGGGAAGTAAGTAGAGTTTAGGCTCTGCCTTAAGAGTGGCTGTGAACTCCACCAACCTTGTAAGTCAGTGGTTGCTGCAGTTCTTGCATTAAACTCTCCTCAAGTCCCTGATATTTCCGCTTTCCTCCACACTGAGTTTGTGCTAAGCAGTATGGTAATCCTTATTAGCATGTAGGTTTAAATTCTGTTTGAATTCCTCCTTAGGATGATATAAACAGACCATTCTTTGCTCAAAAACCTCAGGTATTTCTAGATACCAGCTGGTAGTCATTGCTTAGCTTTTTCAGATCTTAGCCTGCTTAAGCGTGGCTTGCTTGGGCAGAATACCTGTATGTGCTCATGAAGATATGTTTTATACCTGGCCTGTGGACATTGCCAAGGCTGGATATATGCATGCTAAGCATTCAACTTCTAAACTGCTTTGTCTTGTACCAGAGTCCAGCTTAAAGTCATTAAATGGGTCAGTAATGAAGCTAAAATCTCCTGAACTTCCTTCTAGAACATGTTTGCTAAAAGAGTTTGCATCTATGAAAGCCTGTCGATGAAGACACCAATACATTGCATTATTACAGGGCAAAATCAACATACCAGTAGTTTTATATAAATAATGGCATAACTAAATCAAAATCTACTCTTACAGGGGCACCAATGCAAACTAAATCACTAGTGCACCAGCACATCTGAAACCTAAGTGAAATCACTGCTGCTTCCACTAAAGTTCAAACCTACTGCCTTTTCACCCCCTCCATTTTGATCAGTGTTTGTTCAGCATTATAACTATCACCCTCTACTGTTTCCCTCTAATTCCCTTAATTGTGATTGGTTAGTCAAACAGTTGTAGTTAAATGGTCAACTGAAGACTATTCCAATCAAAAATGCAGCCTATGTCTGCTCTCATTTCCAGTTTCTTTGGCAGGGATGTGACCACAGTTATGTAATAACAGGGACCATAAAAGCAGCATTGTTGTTAACTTTATGTAATTGTAGGAGTTTTAGTGATGTACAGGAGTTAAATTCCCATTGGCTTCTGACAAATCTTCCTGGCACCCACTTGACAGTCCTCTTCGTATTCTCTGAGATCCTGCTCCTGCAAATAGAAAGTGTCTTCTCCCTAGTTATCTAATTTGCAGTTTACTAATGTTGCTTAAATGTCTACTAAAGCAGGTCATGCTTAGTAAAATGTGGAAATTGTACCTGGCAAGCAAGTTGCTTAAGCAAATGAGGATTCTGTTCACAAAGCCCAAACACATGCATTTCATTTCATGTCTTTGTTACTGGCTTGTCCTTTTGGAATGACATATTCAATTTTTTTTTTTATTTTTATTTTTTTTATCAGAAAGGAAAGCACCTCCTTTAAATTACTTTCACATCACGGGCGAGACGTATAACTGTGTTTAACCCTTTTTATTCCTACAGGGTTTTCACATAAATTTACTGACTGTACTGGGGCAAGAAAAATCCAAGAGAAATGCCTTCAAGACAGCTCATGAACAAATATAGGAAAGTCAAAGGTATACATACTTGTAAATTGCAAAGAGAACAGATGCAGTTTCCCATACCAACCCCACAGAGGCAATTATTATGCTGCCAGTAAAATCAAAGGACATTCTTAGTGCTGCCTTGAATGGAAAGCAGACTTGATGGTTTGGGATTGATCCAGTACATCTGAAACCAGCAGTAGCCTTGCTGCTGTTTTCACTGTGAATTTATGGAAGCCATCACTTGGAAGAAGAAAATGATCTTGCATCCTAAACCAGAGTGACTTCATGGAGGGTGGTATAGTCTCATACTTCCGCAAAAATTTTTCTGTTATTATTTAAGCAAGCTCTGACTAATATCAATTATATTTGAGCTTTAACTTAAATGATATATCTGTGAGGAGACATCTGGACAAAGAACATACCCCCCCCCCCCCAAAAAAAAAAAACAAACAATGCAGAATAGCATATATTTTCTGGGTGATATACAGCACCATGGAAGTAAGAAAAATAGCCCTATTCCTTTCTGTGAAAACAGGATTCCACCTTCTGTTAAATTAAAGAGAAGAAAAATTGACAGGATTTAGAACTGGTTTAAATTTGCAGATTATAGCACTAGTTAAAATGTCTTTATACGAACACATGGCAGACCTGACTAACAGGACAAGATATTATCATATCCCAAGAGCCAGTAATTTCATGGGGGCTGCCCATGATATCACAGCAATTTCATGGGAACTGCATTTGGCTTCCTGCAGAGGACCTCAGGTGTGTCATGGTACCAAAGCAGTCTTCAAAATACACGTTCACTAGTCAATTTAACTGTGAATAAAAATTGGAGTCACAAGAACAACAGAATTTACACAGTGGTCTTTCAAGAATGTTCTCTGTGCAGACAGATACTCATTAATAATTTAACAGAAGGGAAAGTTCACGTAGGTCAGAAATTGAAATGACTTCTTAAATGTTTTATTTCTTAGTAAAGTAAGTTACTTGATGTTTTCATTTGTAATGCATTTCCCTGCATGAACTGAAAAGCCATAAGAAAGGTCACCAGACACTATACAATACTTTGACCAGATCAGCTTGAAGTTTCGTTACAATAAAAGATATGGCTGTCATACATAGCAGCTAATTCTGCTCTGCCTCTACACTGCAGCATTTTCTATATTTTGCATTCATAGATATTAGTTATGCTGATAGTTGTATAAAAAGGTACATATTAGTATTTTCTTCTATTCAGCACCTATTTATTTAGCAATAATCTACTGACTGAATTATATAAGTTAAATGTAATCTTTATAACTGAAGTACAACACTGGTTTTTATACTGTCTTCAAGTACCTATAATTTACTGTTTTCAGCATCAAACATTCGTGTAATAGGGCTGGCATTAACTTGGAGCGTAAGACTGAACACTGCGCTCTGGTTTCATGAGGACTAATAAATCAGAGGCATTGCAATACCCCAATGGCCAAAGCACACACTGCTAGATTAGTATCAGAACAGGGGCAATCACAGATACAAAACTATTTCCACTGGTTCTTTCCCAAGAGCCTACTCCAATTTAAATCCATTCTGTACTCCCACTCCCAGTCAGTCCTGACCTTCAAGAACCCTCCTTCTGAGCTTCAGTGAGATCCAAGTCTGGTAGCATCTAGTCTGGATGCTTGTAATAAGGTCAACCTGGCAAATGGCCTCGGCAATGAGAAAGCATTCTCAGCTAAAAGAAGGATATAAATGTAGTACTCCAGGTAATCCTTTCTTGTCACTAGCATTTAAGTGGAATGACAGCTAATATTGTAAAATCTGAGTTTCCCAAAGGATGAGTGGTACAGCTCCTTAATAAGGTGAATACTGTACTGTATTTACTGATACTGTACTGTACTGTAAATCCTGAGTGCCTAAGGCACCTTCTGGCTTAAGTGAGAGGTCCTGCAAATGACAGTGACCTCTAAATTCGAGCTTTAGACTATCACCAACTTTATAAGCCCATGAAGAATAGCCAGAAAACAAATAAGAAAAACAAATTATTATCTGAAAAATGCCTACCAGCAGAGCAGCACAAATAGGGCCATGGATGATGTACAGCAGATGAGTATCAGAGCTGATCCAGCAACTAGAGAAAACAAACAAGAAAAAATAACACAATAAAAAAAACCAACAAACATTTGGCATATTATTATCTCTTGTATTCCTTTTTCTCCCCTTAAAGCAAATAAATTTTGCAAAGCAAGATGAGATGCTACTTACTTGTCATTATAATACAAGCTTCTAGCAACGGCATGTATGCAGGCAGGAATCAGTGGAAAACCTGAGGAAAAAAAAATATTAAATCAATGTTTTCTTCATACATAAACATGACTAACAACTACATCTTGCATTTCTTGCTGGTATCTTTTGCACTTTCACCTCATCCAAACTATATACCTGTAGAGCAACTAATGTAACAAGTCCCAATACGACATCTATTTTCTCAGGTTTCTTCCTGAGGGGTGTATGAAACCTCATTCCCACTGTCTTTCCAAGGAAATCCATATCAATACACAGAAAGAAAAAGCAAATAAAATTACAACAATTTAGAAAGCATCAATCTATCTTCATTAACACAGACATTTTTCAGACTGCAATTTTCAATATGCTAAATGGGCAGTAGAACTAAAAATGACACATGACCACATGACTAAAAAGTACACATGACCAGAGCTTTAACGGTATGATAAACAAAGTTGATACTTGCTCGGTGTACAGAAAAAAAAAGTCACCTGCAAAACAAATTTGAAATCAGACTCTGGAAATCACGTAGAGTTAAAAATTTTAAAAGAATACACAAATTAATTATGTGGGGTCCTTGACACTCTGATGTTTTCAGAAGTTGCTGTGCACCTATGATCTTTTAACTACATCTCAGATGTGTTTGTAGTGGGACAACTACCTAAGTACCGAGTCATGTTATAGCTGAATGCGCCAATATACTGAGGCTAACGAGAAAGCCCTCACTTGCACTTTGTGAGTATGCTGTTGTGCATTATCTGAGATGACCAGGTTTGGCTTCTTAGTTTTGATACTGATATTTCTTAAGATTTTCAGCTACAGCTATTTTGTATTTGTTTAGTGAACAATACAGGTCAAATCGAACTGCTGGAAAAAGAAATCCTTGGCCATCTCTAACTCAGTTCTGACCCTCCACCCAAGACATGGCAAGACTTCTCTGAAAACAAACATTCATTCCTGAATAAACATCTTCGACATAAAGAACAATGAATAATTACTTCTTAATGTCTTTTTTTTTATAATAGGAGACTCTTTTCACTATACAACGGAGGAGTCACTTCCTGACTCCAGAAACGCATAATCTCTCTTTCAGCAAAGACTGAAGTACATACAACTTCCTACATTCATAATTCTAAGCCTGTTGAAACTCCCCAGACAAAGAAGAGGAGTGGGTCATCATTGTTCAAAGCTACCAGCTCAGAGAAGCAAAGTACAGAGGTTTTAATTCTCATGAAAAGGAAGAAGAGATTGCTTTGGCCTGAAAACATAGAATGCAAAATCACATACCCCAGCCAAGAAGGTAATACCACATCAAGTGTTGTTTCTCAGCAAAAACAGCCACCACAATGAGAGTGTGCAGGTAAATGCCTTCACACAGCATCCAAAAGTAGTTGCAACCCATTAGGTACAGGTAGATGAACTGTGACACTTTGCAGCTAAGCTGCAGAAAAAAAGCAGAGTACAATATTAATGTTCAAGTTGCAAAAATCACAAGAACTTTATTTGCAAAATGGTAAAAAATACTGTTCCAGTTAAATTTCAATGTTTATTCTCTTTTTCACTACATTTATTTATTTTCTTTTAGTAAAATTTTCATAGCATTACAATTCCATACTTTATGGTGACAATAAAAGTGGTGAATGAGTCTGTATTTTTATTATTCAAATATGAGGACCTCAAGATCCTCAAAGCATGATGGCAGAGAGCTGTAATGATATTTTCCCTTATTGCAAACATTGCCACACTTAGCCATTCCAATCAGCAGGGAATCCTTAAATTATCTGACGGTAAACACACAACGAAAAATGTATTTTGATAAAGGTAATTCCCTCTCAAATTTTACCAATCACAACATATAGCTACTCCAGAGAATAAATTATGTTTTTTAAATGCTCATGATACTTTCAACTTTAACCTAGTCATAGCAGCACTTAGCACAAGTTGAGAAGAACCTCTCTTGTTGGCATATATTTGGATTTAGCTTCATTAAAAAGACATTCTTCAACTGAAATGTTAAAAAACAATTTACTGAAAAGTTGTGAAAAAGAAGCAATAGTTAATGCACAGATTTAGACACAGTGGATTTTTTTTTCTTTTTCCTCCTGTAATCACTAAGTGTTGGATTGATCTTTCTGGCACTTAGCTTAAAACAAACCCGAAATGAACCTTTTTTACCACATTTTGCTACCTAACTGATGAGGTGATTAGCAGCTATCTCAAGATTGTTTTCCACCACTTGGATGAGGTTTTACAGGAGAAAGAGAATTTATCTTTTTACTTGAATAAGCTTCTGGAGTTTTGCCCTGACTTTCATAGAATATGGATTTATCTTCCAGGCCTAAATTAAAATAAGGTCATAATTAGGGATTTGTTTATTTATGTACGTAATTTTCAGGCTCTGATTCACACTTATCCAGTGTTACCAGGACGGGGGGGGGGGGGGGGAAGAGGAGCCCCCCCCAATCAGGCCCAAACGGATGAGGTCTTTCTTTAGCTTTTACTTTTGGAATATAATGGTCAGTGTAACCTCCTTTCGCGCGCGCACACACACACACACACACACACACACACACAAAAAACCAGAAAAAAAAACAACAAAACCCAAAATCCCCAAAAAACCCCCCAAAACAGCCAAAATAGATTCTTTTTAACTGAAGACGGCAAAGTTAAAGCCATAGGAAAGTAGCATACAGTTCCAAAATACACTGCAATGCTTTTTTTACTGCCCTTCCTTGGTGAATTGAACTACTATAACCTCACTGAGATCATCTAGAACAGGCTACTTTCTTACAGTTCTATCAGTCCAAAAGGTTCTTGTAGAAACTCAGAAAAGCAGGTCAGTGTGCTCCGTCTCTTACAGTGTTTCTATTGTTTCAGAACCACAAATGTGGAATGCCCACATCATTGTTAGACATCTGTTGCACTACATAACATGGACACATCGTTACTGAACATTTTAATCTCACTATATACAACATTTTGTCAACTATTCACATCTCATCTCTTCCGTGTTGCTCACAGATAAATCAATAAGGCTGCCAAATATACTTTCACTTACTGGATTAGTTGCAACCAACTCCTGATTGTTGGCAACTGCAGTCAGTGAAATTATTGTTACGACCGAGTTGCAAACAAAAGAGAAAAATAGGTTTTTGTGCAGGGTAATCCTTTGGCAACTCAAGCTCCTAGAAAAGAGAAAGAAGAACAAATGAATACCCAGGAGTAAAGTGCTGCGTACTTGGGGGCACCCTGAAATTTTGAAATACTAGAGCTCTTTATTATCAACCCTTTCTTAAGTTACAGTCTAAATTTAATAGAATGATGTGAAAGGTAACACTTTCCCTTCAACACCAACAAGAGGCAAAGTGAAGTACATTCAGTTCCAAGTGTGTTCACAGAGACAGACCTATTTTGCAGTGGCGATCTAAAAAACATCTGAATAGCAGTAATGTAACATATTTCAGAAGATTTATACCTTTGAGGAAGCTCTCTCACCCTGCTTTTCCATTTACCCAAACCTAACATGTTTTGAAGATATTTTTTTATTACTTGTATTCCTGTCATTTTCCTTCCTTGATTTTATAACTGCAAAAATATCCAAATAAGTAAAATAACACAAATGTTATATTGACTTTTGTATATAACCCAGTCATAAACAGTATATAAACAATTATAAAATGCAGTATCTAACTGAATTTAATTGTGTTAATTTTCAAGGTTTGCCTTTAATTTTGAAATAAAATTTAAGAAAAAATACTTGGAAGAACTGGTTTGTTGCTTTTTGGTTTTTTTTGTGTTTTTTTTTTTTTTTTTTTTTTTTTTTTTTTTAAGCAGAGCATCAGTAATATTAAACAATACTAGAAACTGAACACAGTCAGCAAATTTCTGTTTATCTGCCATACCAGAGAAAACAGGTCTGAATTAGTGCCATTCCAAGAGGCATGAGTGCTTCTCATTCAATTCTTTTTGAAGAAATTCAGCTTCATAGGCAAACACAAAAAAAAAAAAAAGACAGAAAGCCTGTATGGGTATATGGACAATTCTGATCATTGGGATATTAAACCTTAATGCTCAAAGTTCCCAAAAAAGCAAGGAAAATCCATTTGTTATAAAAAGACACTCTCAGAAAACACGCATTTTAAATCTGGAGAAAGCATCTACTGAAACCTCTGTTGTAGGGAGTATGCTCTTTATAACCACACCTACCTACCTACATTTAGCAGCCAGCACCACAGAGTGCACCTGATTGATAAAGTAACTGGAGGAGGAATATCTATCACACATTCAACTGCTTTTCACTGTTAGAGCAATCAGAAATACATTGAGAAGGTCAGCATGGGACAAGTCTAAATTGTCACAAAGGGAAAATCAACTTGTCTAGCCTTTTCAAGCAGCATGACTGGAAGACAAGATAAACTATGGGCACTGATAATTAAATTTTACTTTGAGAGGGCAGGAGGGAGAAGAAATTTATATTTTAATAGAGAAATACAGATACAGAACAGACATGAAAGCTGGAGGAGTATACTGAAAACTGTTGAGAACATGACAGAAAAGAAACAAAACAATCCCACTGAACAAGAGAGATGCTAAAAAAAATACTGGCTATAGAGAATGCTGCACTTAGTTGCATTCTTCATAACTATTACACAAAGAATATATGAAGCACACCACAGATATATGGAGTACTCTCAGATATGGACAGTACAATACCGTTAATCAGGCAGTTTGTGCAAGTCAAGCCTTGGAGCCCTCAGGCATTCTAAGCCTCATTTCACTAAACATGGGGGAAGGAAACTACTCTAGAAACTAGTGCTGCCATGCAGCACAAGGCACTACCCTAGTCAAACCTCTGTTTGCCAAATGTTGTTTGCCTGAAGGAAATAAGAAAGAAAATTTGTCCAAATTACAGAACACACACTTAGATTTGAATTAAGTGATAAAGTACATTCCATTAGGCTTTTTATTATTTTAGTTTTAATACCCCAAACACATATAGCTTTGACTACTAAAATATGCAGATTTTTATGTGTTCTGAAAATGTATTTTCGTAAGGTCCTTTCCTTCCTATATGGCTTATATACAAAAGGAGAGGCTACACGAGATTCCAGCTAAGGGCTTTGTGTAAACAAGTCCCGAAGAACTCTGGAATTTTGTCTCCTTATCGTTAAAAGACTCAGTACGCAGGCAGGCAAGGCAAAGCATGTACAGCTAATGGGGCCATCTCTCAGGGTCATCCAGCAGCTGTTCCTGTTGAGTATTCAAACACACCCATGCACAACCACCTCCACCCCTTCAGAAAAGGACTGAAAGTATCACAAGACAAGAAACAAGGAAGCAAGTCTGATGACATTTAAAAATGAAGACTGCTTTTGGTAACAAAAGTATATTTTCCTAAGCCTCCCCACCCTCCCTCTTGTGTTCCTCTTCTTGTATTCGTCTATTTCCTCTTAACGACATAATATCCTTTAATCATTTAATTCTCATAATTATGATCTAAGAGCATTTGAATGACCTCCCTCCAGATTAAACTAGGTGCAGTAAAAAAACAGGCTTCCTGCTAATTTACTTATTTCCCTTCCTATTTTGACTCCTACATGTCTTGGACGTTAGGGAAAATATCAGGTCTGCAATACGTCTCCCAAAAGAAAAAAAATGTAACATTTTCAAAATGTCAGATATGTTTGAGATTAAATTCTTAAGGTATTCATATACTGCAAAATTCAACCATTGAGATCCACATATGCACCTAAGGGAATTACCTGTTCAGCCAAAACTGACTTTCAGTGACTTGGGAACCTCTGCTCTCTATATCAATCTATCACTCAGTTGTTTGCATACTCTTTTAGCATAGCATAGCTATCCTCTGTGAGTGCTCCCATGCGATTTGACATGATGCTTGATCAACAGCTCCTTTATTCCAGGTGGTTTTTTTTTTTTTTTTTTTTTTTTTGCTTGGTTTGGGATTTGTTCACTTTGGGGGCCATCCTTCAAATTATAGCTCCCCTTCCTCTGAATTCCCTGGATTTAAGATTTCTCTTGCCTTGGCTTTTTTTTTTTTTTCTTTTCTTTATATAACTATAGAACTATTTTAACATAACATTTTATAATAAGCACATGTATGACCTAGAAGATGTAGCAGAATAAGAAAGCAAGTTTGTTTTTTTATGTGTCACAGATGACTTTTCAGAGAGGAAGATCAGAATTCCAAGTTTATAGCCCATTTTATGCTATCAAACAAAATTCCAATCCACGTGGGGAACACAACTGACAAACTGGAGATGTATTTCCAATGAGGCAATTTTCTAAAGAAAAGAGAGAATTTCAAATTAAATAAAAAATAATTCACAAAACTGGCTTAATCTTATAAAAAAAAAGTATTTGAAAAAATATCTTTGTTTTCTTCTGGGAAAAGGTACCACCTTTCCAGTCAAACCTAAAGATATTCTAATGGTCAGCAATCAAGCAAATATCATCTAGAAACTATCAACTGACTAACAGAATAATTTTTTTTAATACATGGGAAGTTCAAAGGCACCCCCACACAATAGCAAAAAGAAAAAAAAACAAAAAAGCCCACCTGTTAAAGCTATGAATAATTATACAAGCTTCAGCTGATACATAATACATCCTGATATTAATCTAGACCCTTAAATATCCTTCTGGTACTAAAAATACTTTTGAGGAACTGTACATCCCAAGATAACAGCTTGTAGAGAACTTCCTTTGGCTTCCTTTACATTTTGTAATTTCCTTTTATATCCCAACATATCCACAGCCTAGAAAATGTGGTTTGTGGGTCTGGATTAATTCCACGTAGTTCTCTGAGGAGAAATGATCCTTCAACCAGAGGGGAAAAAAAAAAAAACACATGGTAAGGCTAGACAAGCATGACATAGTAATAAGGGTTGCAAAGCAGATCACCTGCTTTTGCAGCAAATGCCAGAAGGCCAAGATGAAAATGGCTTGGTTTTCATGTTACAGTACAGAAATATCATGCTTTACTGTCTGAACTTTTAAAACCTTGCATTCCAAATATTTTTGTTTTCTCCTGAGAAGTCTGCCAAAACTTTTTTCCTGTCACATTACATACTTAGTCTGTTAAACTTGTGACATTCATAGCAACAGTATAGCCTTTTTATGCTATATATAAGAACTCAGAGCCATTTCACTTGTTGATTTCATGGGGGGAAAGTGAATTTGGAAATGGTAAATATTGTTTTTACAAGTCATATGCAAATAAACTGATTAAAAAAACCCAAATATTTTAGTTTGTCCTCATGAACATGAACCTCATGGAAAGAAGTCAGAAAAAGCTGCAAAGTCATTTTGAATACTGGATTTCATGAAGACGTTACAAAGTGGAAAGACTTGTTTGCTGGGGATTTGTGGAAATGTTGTTCCAGAACCCCGGGAAATGATGGATACCTAAATTGGAAATGCTATAATCAGCCAGGTGCAACTAAAAAGGGTATTTTTTTTGTCACTCTTCTGCTACTCTTACCTAATCAAAGTCCAGATCACGAGAGCTAGCCCCACAGTAGCTAGCATATGTTCTACTCATATTAAAATGTTAGAGGCAAAGTAAAAGATCAAGTGAGACAGTAGAGTACAGCAGTAAACAACAGGTAAGACCATAGAGCAGATCTAAATTAGCCAATAAAAAACAATGCAGAAATGTTTAAACTATGCCAGTTAGCAAGGAAAGCATACATAGTGAAGTGCAGCATTTAGCAGAGATAACTTGTCTCTGTCAGTTCCGCTCATGTGTCAATATTCCTGGTTTCATCTTTTTACAAAACCTCATCAACTTCTTAAAAAAAAAAACCAACAAAACCACAAGGGATCTTTTGTGTTAAAGAAAAGTTTAGAAGTAATAAGACGATTTAGTTTTAAGGATATGTGCATTGTATTACAAGTTGTTGTGACAGTGGTGATACATAGCTCACTTTCAGGAAGGTAACACAATAATGTGAGAAAATATGACGGAACTGTCATAGAGATAATGTGCTGAATAAAACCTCACAATTATTTTTATTATTCCCATTCCTATGGGAGTTTATTGCGTTTTTTGGGTACCTACTTTGCAATATTACTGTACTTATCATAAATCATCAGTATTTTGGTTTCCATTTGTTCTTTTGTTCGACTGATGCTTGGCATATCCACACTACACTTATTTATTAAAAAAAAACCCACCACCATCACCAAAACCACAGCAACAACAAAACCCAAACCTAAACTCAAAACAAGCAAGCTTTTCTTCTTTTTTTTCCATTTTCCCACTTACTATTTTCAATATATTCTACAGTTTTTGATTTGCAGATTTAGGATTTTAGGCTTCCATTAAAAGAAACCTAAAATTTTATCACATTATAATGTTCACCAAAGCAATATACTGACCCTTTGCCTTCTTGCTCCTTTTCATTGGAATGGCTACTGTTTCAAAGTCCTGAAACTAGGATTTTTGCAACCATTGATATTTGGCAAAGAATTTTAAGAATACTTACTTAAAATAAAAGAATATGCCAAGAGAAATCAGAAGTGATGTAATTGAAAGACCATGTCCGATGATGGCCAAGTAATACAAGTTCAGAGCAGTCTGCAACATAAGAACAAAAGCAAGCACCTGTGATGCATATAGAACTATTGCTGATAAAGCACATACTTACACATCTCTTCTGCATATAAAAGAACTATAATAGGATTAATAAAAACATCACAGAGAATGATGAGTCTAAAATCCTGGAAATCAATATCTTGCTAAAATCTCTTTTTTATAGGACACGCAACACATTTGCTGAAATAATCACCAGAAACTCATTGTTAAGACATCAGGTTTCTAATATATACGGCTATGTTTTTTTCTAAGTATTTACATAAATGTGGCCATTTATGCTACTGCACTGGGAGCATTCCTGTCTGAGGGTTGATTCCTCTATTAACACAACTCTAAAGTAAAATGTGCTTCCTATATGAATTTATGTATTTTTTTCATCATAGAAGATTTGCTCTTATCATCTAAAGATACTTCCTTTAAAGCAAGCTGTGAGGGTGACATTGGAAACTTAGTTTTCACTTGGCATTTAAGGAAGGGCATATAAAAGGTAACAATGAAGACTGAGCAGTCTACATTAAATAAGCCGACAGCCAAATTACAGAATTATGAAAAGCTGGACAGGTACAAAACGCAAAAATAAAGAACCAATTAATTAATATTTGGAATATATACAACATCTTATGACTAATTCTTTGAATTAGTAAGATATTAAATTCTATTTGTAACAATCCCCTGCTTTCACTCATCGAATCTGCCTCACAATTTCTCTTGTTCCATTCAAAGTATGATAATTGTCTTGTACACAGGAACAATAACAATAAGGCTGAACCTTACTCTATCAAAATAAAGCACGACTATCTGGATTCTGTGCTCATGGACTCCAAGCTGTATGTACCTTCTGAACTTATTTAAGATTGAACTTATTTTAAATTGACTTACTTAACTCAATTTAAGATAGACTAACTGCAGCTTGCTACATACATTGACTTCTGAAATAAAAAAAATAAAAGAAAAAATATTTCAGGTAAAGCTTTAAGACAAGGGTACCTTTTTGTACATGGTAGAATTTTTCAAATTATTCTTATTATTATTTAAAATAAGATAACATAAAAAAAATTAAAAGTAATGCAATAGGTTTAAGTGAAAATTTCATAACAATTTGTGAGAAAAAAAAAAAGGGTTACCCCTGAATCACTAAAGCCTGGCTACATGCATATGACACACTTCCATGACAGATCCATATCCCACATCATCCCCTCATTCTGTGACTGATTTAGGCAAAGGTGCACATTAAGGATTTAGGATTTCTGCACAACTCAGAACTAGCATAAAGCAGTGGTATGGCAGGGACTGCTGCTCGCACGTCCATAGGAGCTCAGAACCAAGGTATATTTACGACTGTATTTGCTGTTGCTGTATGCTGTACCTTGTGATACTGAAATTTGTATTGTTTCTTGTTTATATATGGATCCTGTAATAATTCATTCTCTGTCTAGTATTGAAAAAATTCCAGATGATTTCTCCCCTGAAAGAGAACAACTTATTGATCATGCTGAAGTTGTCTTGACTCCATTTCTTAATAATGATTCAAGAAATATTCACATGCTATGGAGGGATCATTATTTGGATATGAGAAGAATGAGAAGAATGAGAAGAATGAGAAGAATGGACAACAGTCACATTTACTGTGCATTATTTAACCCACCTTCTAGCAAAGTGAAAGGATAATGTTGCTAGGATAACAACACGTGAACTGTAGCAAGCTGCAAGGCTTTTTTGGAGCTATTACTCCATTTAAACAGTACTTTCTGGTGCATGACGGACTTGAAATATGCTGGCAAAACAGCCTGAGGGAAACTAGCTCATTATTCATAAAGAGGGACCTGCATGGATCATGTCTGAAAAACATCTCAGTTTCCAGCCAATTAGCAAGAATCAATGAATTATAGCATCTCTGCTAGTAGAATTAAATGGTTATTAGTGTATTCAATGTCTCATGATTTGCAAAAAAGCAATACAAAAGTGCCTTTTTGTGATTTATTACCACCTTTTCTCAATATGTTTTCTAGGTAAATACCCTAAAATACACCTGACAGCAATGATGCAGGCAGGTAGGATCTCTACTAGATATCAGTATTCTTGACACAATCTGCTATTATTGAGCTCTTTTCCACGAGTCATAAATTAATTTACAGTCTATCCTGACCCACTGGACATTTACAGTTTCAAGTAAGGTTCTTCTAATGACTATTTCATAAACAAAGGGGACACAGAGTTATAATATATAGATGAGATATTAATGGCAGAGTTTGCTCATACCATGTGAGCAAACTTGGATATGTATGTAAGTTTGTATCATATCGTTTGCTCACAGATACAGTAGATAAGAGTCTTACATTCCCCTACAAGGGTAGAGAATGTAAAATATGCAATTTTGCCCATTATATCACATATCACAGAGGATCTCAGGAAGAAGGCATGTGGAAGTTAACCAGATTCTTCTGTTACTATTTTTCTAAATACGTCAATGCACGGGCAAGGTAAACTGAAGTTTATTTAACAAAAAGAATCTATACATATACCCAACAAAGGTATGTATGCATATGCCCATATATAGAAATATATATGTAAAACAATTTTGATATATAGCAAACCACTCTCTCAAAGCATTTTGCTGCCTGGCCTGAGATAATTTTGGATGCTTGCAAAATTTAACTTAAATAAACTTCAAGTATAGGTTTTCCATTAATGAAAGCTGCTTAACATCTCAGAGACTGAAAAAAAATGGCACTTGGGAGCTAAGACACAAGACATACACAGGGAAAGGATCACAAGGCAAAACAAACCCTACCTAACATTCCTCATAATTTGCTTCCCTTTGACATCCAAAGGTCCTGTGATGAATCCAGTCAACTACAGCTTGCCAAATTTGTAAAAAAAAAAATAAATAAATAATTTTTTTTTACTTTGTAAAAAAAGATATGAGCTCTGCTTTGGTTGGGAAAAAAAACAAACCCACCCCCCCCCAACCCAAAACAAAAAAACACACAAAATGCCACAAAAAAACACCCAACAAAAACCAGGAAACAAACCCTTGAAGATGTATTAATCTCAAACAAAGCTCTGGGTGTGCACCTACTGAAAATCTGCTACGATAACTTAGTTGGATAAACTCATGCAGTCAGCACATCTTCCACAGATGTGCAAGCCTGCAGTTCTGCTGAACTTGCACTTACTTGAAATTTACAGAGTAAAATGTACAGGTCTGCTCTTACTGGGCATGCAGTTTTGCTTACCAGTAGATGACTGTGGATGACCTAGACAAATATTAGTATGCACACATTAAAATGCCATTAAAAAAATTATCATATTATTCAAGCACCTGAAATCAGTTGTAAAACACAAAGCAGGTGGTTTGGAAGGTTTTTTCTAAGTCTGTTTAGCACAATTCACCCTTTTTATTCAACATACTTTTCCTTTTGCATTTTGATGTTGCATTAACTCTGTCGCCATTTGAGTTTTGAACTTGTGCAATTTTTCCAATCAGTTTCTCGATACTAGGAGCTTGCATTCATTCCTTTCCTACCTTCACTTTTTCATGTGTATAGATATTACACTGGGTATAGTTTGTCCACGTCCTGTTGCTTTCTGGGTGTCTAAACCAATTCCCACTTGGATCACAGATCTTCGTAACCTTTTCTACAAAGAAGATGGAAATAAAAACAGAAGAAAAACACAAGAGTCAGCACTGAGGTTCTAATTCCCAAGGCCTAGTATCTAATGAAGAAAGACCAGTAAACAAATGACAGCTTTGTTTATACGACTAGAGACATTGCTTGTTACTATTAATTCTGAAAAACTAGAGGCCACTGCTTTTGCTTAGCAAGAGAAACTGATGATGTGTTTTTCTTCAGAAAACAGCTTTCCCTCCTCCAAGCCCATAAGTATCAAAATACGTCAAACCAACTGCTCAAGAACTACCAGGTGAAGTGACAAAAACATTTAAACAGCTTATCATCCAAGATCTAAACTGACATCTACCACTGTAAATTAGAATGGAACAGGCAAGAAAACATCAACAGAGAAACTGCTGAAGAACAAAACTGGAAAACTGTGAGTACATAATGATTTCTATCATGAAATAGGAGGCATGAAAAGACCCTGGGAATACCAAATGAAGCAGGAAGATACAAGAGTGGAAGTCTGTGACATTTTCCACATGCTTACAGGTACAAAGCTTAGCCCTACAGAAACAGAAAAAGATTCTTTTGTGAGAGAAGCCCCTGTCAGATTCTACTGCTAAACTGAGGTAAAAGTCATACTTCTGCTTGCCTGTTAGAGAGATCTCTAGGAGGACAAAAGCTGATCTAACTTCAAGTTATATGTCATAGTCTCCAGAATTCTGCAAGGAGATATTTCAGAGAAAATACTAACAAACCAACCAACGAAAAAAACAAAACCAAAAACCAACCAACCAACCAAACCCCCCCCCCCCCCCCAAAACACACAACACTAACTTGTGATAAAGGGAAAGGACCTGGGGGAGCTGGTCAATGAGAAACTGAACATGAGCCAGCAGTGTGTACCTGCAGCCCAGAAACCAACTGTGTCCTGTGCCACACCACAAGGAGCATGATCAGCGGGTCAAAGGAGGTGATTCTCCCCCTCTACACATAGTACTGTGTGCAGTTCTGGTGTCCCCAGCATAAAAAGGACATGGAGCTGTTGGAGCAAGTAAAGAGGAAGCCACAAGGATGATAACGGGGGTTGAAGCACATCCCATACAAAGAGAGGCTGAGAAAATTTGGGCTGTTCAGTGTGGAGAAGAGAAGCTGTGTGGAGATCTCATAGGAGCCTTCCAGTATCTGAAGGAGGCCTACCAGGATGCTGGAGAGGAGCTCTTCATCAGGGACTGTAGAAATAGGACAAGGGGCAATGGGTTCAAACTTAGAAAGGGGATATTTAGGTTGGATATAAAGAAAAAATTCTTTACTGTGAGAGTGGCGAGGCACTGGAACAGGTTGCTTAAGGACACTGAGAATGCCCCACTCCTGTCAGTGTTCAAGGCCAGGTTAGACAGGACCCTGAGCATCCTGGTCTAGTGACAGTTGTCCGTGCCCATGGCAGGTGGATTGGAACTAGATGAAATTAATGTCCTTTTAAACCCTAACTATTCTGTGATTCTATGAAAATGCAAATAATGGTTTTGAAGTTACTGAAATTCTGAAGCATTAGTGACTTTGAGTGGGGCAAACAGGATGCATCAAGCACCTAAAATCTAACTTCGTTAAGAAATATGTTGATGCAGAAGTCCACGCACACTTACCTGATGGGTTGAAATCCTGAAAGTAGTCAGGACAACGCTGTACTGACACAGTTCCAGCAGCAACATCGCTCCAGCACAACCAGCCATCCCATGTCCTGTTACAGTAAGGACCTGCAAATAAGTAGAGATCTGGTAATAAAACAACAACCCTTCTTTCATAACAGTCCCTCAAAAGTAAGATGCAAGACTGTATAAGGTAAGTTTATCACAGAAAAGATTAAAAAAGAAAATAGAAACATAAGATTTAGCACCAGTTAATTAAAACTCCACTCGGTAGTTCCTTAAATGTATATTTCTTTGAATGCATTTTAAAAATCCATCATCAGTCACCTTGAAACAGTCTACATTACAATTTACAAACCTCAGACCTAGAGCACAGTAGGCAAATCCCCCTAAATCTATTCATACCAAACAATGCATATTAACAAAGAGCCTAAGCTTTCAAATACAACTTTGCTTTATTTATTTATATGTTGGACATATACCAAGCCTATAGACACCTTTTCTAGGTAATCTGAAAACACAGTAGTACCCTACAAGCCATTAGGAAGCCTGTCTGGGAGACAGCCATAATTTCTCTGCCTCAGACAAAGCTGAGCCTGCAGCAACCACCATGGCCAGACACTTCTCCAGGTGCTCCAGGGACACCAAATCCACAGTGTCCCTCAAAAGCCTGTTTTGATGCATTGCTGCACTCACACGAATTTTAACGTCTGAGAATGAGCTGGGGTTTTATAATCAAATTCTTTCCCCAAAGGCACGCAGAATAACTGACCCTCTCTATGAATTTGTAGATGTTTTCAGTATCTTCCTTCAGGACTTAATAATGCCCCTATCTCAAAGCTGCATTTTTCAAATGTTATGCAATTCCTCCTCTTCTCATCTGAAGACTTTCCAATCTGTCCAGGTACTTCTGAAGCTGTGATGCCCCAGGCTGAACATAAGCTTACACTTTAATGCTTGTATCTACTTCTGACCTCGCGACATTTAATTCTCCCAAAGAATCATTTTGGAAGAGAAGAAAACTCATTGTAAGCAAGCATAAATAACACTGACAAAAGCCTCAGAACGGGAAAATTATGTGTATCAAGATACTTCCAATTTTTAAAGGCAGGTGTGACCAGAGGTATTACAAAAGCATGGAATAAAGTGGTAGATTAATTTGTCACAATTTTTTAATTTGGATATCTATTTAAATTAACATTTTCTTATCAGAAATAAAAGCTTTGTGTTATATAAGAAGTGGTGCTATGAACAGGTAACATATTACTTTATCTTCATGAATCCCAAAAATGACATTTCTAAGAAATTGTACAAACACGATTACAGCCTGAAAAATCATTGCTATGAAGACAAGAAATGAATATAACTAAAGGAGCCTAAATTACTGTAATTATCTGTTGATCACCTGCCTATGTAAACCCTTATAAGAAAATAATCTCTACCTTCTTTCCTGTGAATAGGATCTTGCATAATTTTCTGGTAGCATTCATATTGTGCTGTCATAATCTTATTCCGTGTAACACTCAGCTGAGAGAAGTCCTCTGTCATATTCTGGTGCCCTTCAGATGGTATAGCAGTGGCAAAAAACTAAAAGGAAAAAGGCTTTTTTTAGCAAGTCATATACATACTCCAATATAAACTTGAATCCTTTAAAATACTTTAAATACTATTTTACTGAAGGAAAGTGATCATCAAATCTTATTACTGACACTAGTATTTTAAGTTTTCTGGTTAGTTTAGCAATTCTTCTTATACTGAATCTTGATAAATATCTCATGACTAAGCAAGGGGGAGTAACAATCTGCAAGAATTTTAAATAGTAATGGAAAAATGACCAAAAACCACTGATACAGTCAGAAGTATACAAATAGTATATAAATCCACTAAAATATATCAATGTTACATTAGTCTAAAAAGCATATTATGCAAAAAATTATCTTTTATAAAGATACTTTCCATATACTGTATGTGCTAAAGCTTTTGGCTTCTTTAGAGCTATTTGGTTTCTCTGTCTGGTGAACCATAAAGTCAACCTTCAAGATACAAAAAGGCATTCAAAAGACAAGACATCCACTTAAAAACATGTATCTTGACCTAAACCTTTTCAGTGCATTTTTTTAAGTAGCCAAGTATTTTACGGGAAGCTACTAAACTTCACAGAAAAACAAAACTGCAGATTGAAATACTGTGCCACTGTCACAAAAGGGTGAAATTAAAAGTTCCAAGGATTTCCTCTGAATCCACGTTATAGGTCTCCTTCACTTTTGCTGGGTCTGCACAGTTCTGCTTGTATGTCCCTTGTTAACTATTACTGTAACATTTCCTGCTAGCAAAGGATATGCTGTGTTCAGCAGAGGTAACTACTATTTGTATTTCTTTACCACATTAATTTAAAGGAGAAGATAAATAAAGATATTGCTGTAGAGAAACTACATATTAGTTGTTTCTGCATTTCCATGTTAATAATTTCTATGGTATTGTGTACACACTTGTTCAACCTGGAAGTGAGTAAAAAAAAAATCGTAAGACTTACCATAGTAACTGACAAGAACAGCAGCAAAAATGTGATCCATTTTTTTGTCATTTTTATATCCAGTGCAGTGAATTTTACAGTGTAGCTGAACAAACTCAAACTGCAACAGAAAAGAAAAAAAAAAAAAAAAAAAAGAGTAGGAAGAACCTTAGCAATTCAGGAAAGCCAAAACTGGTAAAAGAATTAAAACAACTCAAGAGAGTTCTTCTCAGTTTTTATTCATGCACAGTGACACCAAGTGACATATATGAAAATGTACAATACGATGTGAAAATATGCACTCAATTCACCAGCAACTGATTCCAGCAGCAGGGTTTTTCCTGCACTGCTGCCTCCACTGCCTCAACTAACACCAGTTCTCCAGAGCGTTTGTCTCAGTCTGGTATCAGCTTCAACAGATATATAACTCTGGGCTAATTGCTATGAGTTAACACCTTGACATCTCTGCCTTTAGGCAACCCCCGAAAACTGCAGTTCAGTTTCCTCCAAAGGAGGACTAGACTTTCACAAAAATGTGCACACAATTATTTCCTGTTCTCTTCATACCAGGTGAATTTGATCTTGCCACTTCTGGAAGAAATGATCTAGCAAGTAGCCACTTTATCTTGAAGTTACGGCTTTTCAACGATGACAATGGCAATGCAAGAATGAGCTGTGAGCTGTGAAATAGCTTCTGTATCCGCAGTAGCTGTAAACTAGTTACTGTATCATCAGTTTAAAAAAAAACCCATAACTATCTAAACCAGCTGTAATCATCTTACAGTGCAGACTTCTCCTGGAATTGATGTTTGAAGTGCAAAATGCACGTAAACCATAAAATATACAAAGTTATTTATTAAGCACTGAATCTATTAAGCATAACCCTGCTGTGTGAATTCATGCAAAAGGAAGGGAAACATGTAAGAGATTTCCCAAGCAGCATTTTACTGTGTCCTGAAGTATCCTGAGAAGATCACAAAGCTGAGCCTGGAACCAAGATAAAAGCTTCTCTTCTGTTTCCATGTTAGCAAAAGACTTTTCCATATTTAGATGAAGTTTTTGCATCTGAATCATCTTTCAAAAGCTAAGTATCTCACTGTACTAGCATTGATGAAGCTATTATCAGCCAAATAAAGGGGGACCACATCTGACTGAGTTTACCTTCCTTGCACAGATTAATTCACTAAAGATAATACACTGCTACTTCAGATACAAAACTCAAGTACTCCAAAGGCTCCTTCTATAGCTAGTGTGGCATTTCACAACAAGGGCTCAAGTTGATGCAGACACTCAAATCCTCGTTTATTACCACCAAGCCCTTTTTACCCCTTGTTTGGTACTCTGCAGTACATACAACATTCAATCTCACTGGTCCCTGTAAAAATCTCCCAGTAAATAGTCCAATCAGAATGTTGCAGACCCTCTCACAGCCCCCACATCCTCTAGCCTTACAGGCCCCAACTCATCACCCCAGAGCTTGCCAAAGCACCAAGGCCTCAGAGCTCATTCCCAAACTGTTCTTCATGTAAATAGTCAGCTGATTGGTGCTAGCCCAGCTAGAGCCGCAGCCGGCACGCTACAGAGACCGCGAGGTTCTACCGAGATCAGGAAAATCAGAGGGGATAGCGCAGAGGCATCGCGATTCCTGAGATTTCCTGACGTTTCCTGATTCCCGAAGTCCCAGCAGCCCTTGTGAGAGAGCGGCTGACGTGGCGGGGGGCGTTCCCACGGTGACGGAGACCACCCCCCTGACCCTTGCCTTGAAAGAGCCTTTGAGAGGGCAGTGACGTGTCGCTGCCCGCCAGGTGCAGGCAAGAACAGGTAGGTCGTTTTGCTGACCAATATGGTCATCTCCAGAAAAAGAGCTAACAGTAAGAGGACTGTAGCAACTCAGACAGAGACCCTGGCCCTAACCGTGGCTGTTCAGGTCTCTGGATGCCGGGAGTGCCAGAGCCTGCTACTGCCGGGGGAGGGAGGACAACATTCCACCTGTGTGAGGTGTGAGCAGGTAGAAGATCTGCTTAGCTTGGTGGCTAAACTTAAGGAGGAGGTTGAGACGCTGAGAATCATCAGGGAGTGTGAAAGGGAGATCGACTGGTGGAGTAACTCCCTGGCTGGCCAGTTGGAACGCCTCCAGGGAGATACCCCCCAAAAAGGGATGGACGCCCTGCCCTCTCAGGCAGAGGGGGATGACCCGAGACAGCCCCTGTTATGTAGCTGTCGCCCAGAGGTAGGGGACCAAAAAGAGGATGAGGGTTGGAAGCAAGTTCCGGTTCGGCGTCATGGGCAGCCCTCCTCCCTTCCTGCCCTGCTTCCCCAGGTGTCCCTCCGTAATAGGTTTGAGGCCCTGGATCTTGAAGGAGAGGTAGGTGAGGATGTGGTGCAAGGCCCACCTACAAGGCCACATAGGAAAAAGCGGTCGACTTCACACCTCAAGACTGCCTCTGATAAGAAAGAAAGAAGGGTCATTGTAGAAGATGATTCCATTCTGAAAGGAACAGAGGGCCCGATATGCAGAGTTGACCCTCATCATAGGGAAGTGTGTAGTCTGCCTGGAGCCCGGATCAGGGATATCGCCAGGGCGCTCCCCAACATCGTGCACCTGACAGACTACTGCTACTGCTGCTGGTCTTCCAGACTGGTGAGGGGGAAGCTGCTTCCCGCAGTCTGAGGGGGATGAAGAAAGACTACAGGGCCTTGGGGCGGATGGTGAAAGACTCTGGGGCTCAAGTGATCTTCTCTTCACTCCTTCCATCTTCTATTGATGATGTGGGACTGAATAGGAAAATTCAGTCCATAAACGATTGGCTTCGAGGCTGGTGCTGCAGGCAGGGCTTTCGATTCTTTGATAACAACTGGTTTTATAGGGCACCAGTCTGGACAATGGCGTGTGGGAAAGGTTTATTGCACAGAGGCAAAAGGACGCTGGGGCACAAATTAGCAGGGCTCGTTTGGAGAGCTTTAAACTAGATTTGAAGGGGGATGGGGTCGTAGCTGGGCTTGCCTCAGTGGGACAGCGCTCCAGAATTCATGAAGACTGGGAGGCCCTCTGTAATCCTAGGGTGAAATCGGTGTGCTCAGCTCGCTCCCTGAAATGTCTGTACACCAATGCGCGCAGCATGGGAAATAAGCAGGAGGAGCTAGAAACCTGTGTTAAGTCAGGAGATTATGACCTGGTGGCAATTACAGAGACGTGGTGGGACAGCTCACATGACTGGAATATAGTCATGGAGGGCTATGCTCTTTTCAGGAAAGACAGGCCAGCCAGGTGGGGTGGTGGGGTTGCTCTTTATGTGCGAGAGCAGCTACAATGCACTGAGTTCTGTCCAGGGACAGATGACGAGCGAGTTGAGAGCCTGTGGGCGAGAATTAAGGGGCAGGCTGGCAGGGGCGATACTGTTGTGGGGGTCTGTTACAGGCCACCGGATCAGGGTGAGGAAGTTGACGAGGCCTTCTACAGGCAGCTGAGAGCGGCCTCACAGTCACAGGCCGTGGTCGTTGTGGGGGATTTTAACTTCCCTGATGTTTGCTGGAAGGACTACTCGGCAACCCAGCCGCAGTCCAGGAGGTTCCTCCAGTGTATGGATGATAACTTCCTCATGCAAATGGTGGATGAGCCAACCAGGAGAGGTGCGCTGCTGGATCTCATCCTCACTAACAAGGAGGGTCTGGTCGAAGGAGTGAAGGTTGAGGGCTGCCTTGGTTGCAGCGACCACGAGATGGTGGAATTCAGGATCTTGTGTGGTAGGGTCAGTAGAATAGCAAGTAGAATTGCAACCCTGGACTTTAGCAGGGCAAACTTTGGCCTCTTCAAGCAATTGCTAGGGGAAATCCCATGGACTAGGCTGCTTGAAGGTAAAGGGGCCCAAGATAGTTGGTTGACGTTCAAGGACTGCTTTTTCCGAGCTCAAGATCAGAGCATCCCAACACGTAGGAAGTCAAGGAAGAGGGTCAGGAGACCTGCGTGGCTAAATAGGGAATTGCTGGGTATGCTGAACTGGAAGAGAAGAGTTTACAGGTCACGGAAGGAAGGGCTGGCCACTTGGGAGGAATATAAGACTGCTGCTAGAGGATGTAGGAAAGCAGCTAGGATGACTAAGGCCTCCTTTGAATTAAAGCTGGCAAGACGGGTCAAGGACAGCAGAAAGAGCTTCTTCAAATACATGGCAGATAAAACTAACACCAGAGGCAATGTAGGCCCACTGATGAACGGGATGGGTGCCCTGGTGACAGAAGATACAGAGATGGCAGAGTTACTGAATGCCTTCTTTGTCTCTGTCTACTCTGCCGGAGGCAGTCCTGAAGAGCCCTGTACCGCTGAGACCTCGGATGAAGACAGGTCAACGGAGCAGTTTGCCTTAGTTGATGAGGAATGGGTTAAAGACCAGTTGAGCAATCTGGACATCCATAAATGCATGGGTCCTTATGGGATGCACCCGCGGGTGCTGAGGGAACTGGTGGAGGTCATTGCTAGACCGCTCTCCATCATCTTTACCAAGTCTTGGAAAACGGGAGAGGTGCCTGAGGACTGGAGGAAAGCAAATGTCACTCCCGTCTTCAAAAAGGGCAAGAAGGAGGACCCGGGTAACTATAGACCGGTCAGCCTCACCTCCATTCCTGGGAAAGTGATGGAACACCTTATCCTTGGCGCCATCTTAAGGCATATCAAGGATAAGAGGATTATGAGGGCCAGTCAACATGGCTTCACCAAGGGGAAGTCATGCTTGACCAATCTCTTAGCGTTTTATGAGGAAATAACACAGTGGATGGATGATGGCAGAGCGGTGGATGTGGTCTACCTTGATTTCAGCAAAGCGTTTGACACAGTCTCCCACAGCATCCTCGCAGCTAAATTGAGGAAGTGTGGTCTGGATGATCGGGTAGTGAGGTGGACTGTGAACTGGCTGAAGGAGAGAAGCCAGAGAGTTGTAGTCTATGGGGCGGAGTCTAGTTGGAGGCCTGTATCTAGTGGAGTGCCTCAAGGGTCGGTACTGGGACCAGTATTATTTAATATATTCATCAATGATTTAGATGAGGGAATTGAGTGTACTATCAGCAAGTTTGCTGATGACACTAAGCTGGGAGGAGTGGCCGACACGCCAGAAGGCTGTGCTGCCATTC